GTTGGCCTCAAAACTGAAGGAAAATTGGCTTACCAGCGATGGGTAAGTCCTAAACATCGATGGGAAGCCAATATTCTGCAGATCCCAAATCTTTTCAATCCCATAAATCAAGCCAATCACCCCTTTAATGCATTGGTCCGTTGGAGCCTATTTTGGCACTATAAAAAGGGGTGTTTGGGTCTGCTTTTCACATCAATTCACTTCACATTACACATATTATCATTGCATCCAAATCACATTGTTTTCCATAGCTTTCTAGAGCCAATTTGTGAAGTTTGAGTTGTTCTTGAGCGTATATAGTTTACTCAACATCTACTCTTAAAGAGAGTCTTGTTCTTGAGTGTTCTTAGTGTTGTAAACACGTTTAGGGAAGCTTGTTTCTCTTGGTTGTACGAAGGAAAGGTAATTTCCTTCGGGTTGAAGTCTTGGAGTGCGGTATCTCCGAGCAAGGTTGTTGAGGCTCGTGGGACTCGAGTTCTCAGGTTGTAACGGTTTGTTAAGCACCCGTAAGCTTAATGGAAGTAGTGTAGCTCGAGAGAGTCTCTCGGGAGACTGGACTAGCCACACGTTGTGGTGAACCAGTATAAATCTTGGTGTGCTCCCTTTACTCCTTTTTATTCCGCTCTTTACTGTATCCCTGCGATTTTTATTCCGTGAAAATTTATAAACATTCTCGTGCCTCACTATTCACCCCCCCTCTAGTGAAGGGCACTTATTCTAACAGGTGTCTCTTCTGGCGATGCGGTGCGGGTTCCGAATCCTCCTCCTCGTCTTCAAGCCCGATGTGACGTTTCTCCCGGGCCTCAGCTTGGGCCACTTCTTTGTCTCTGCGTTTCCCATTCTGAGCATTTCCGGGATTCTCGGTGTCACCATCTTGTACAAATTTCTTCAGATGACCCCGGCGGATCAGCCTTGCCATCTCATTCTTCAGAGTGTAGCAATCTTCCGTGTTATGGTCATTCTTACGGTGGTAGGCACACCATTTTCCAGTGTCTTCCACATTGCAGACCTTCTGAGAATAGGTCGGGTAAGTCATAAGTCTCTTCTGTGCTGCATGGGCCATGACCTCAGTCACTGGCAATGTGAAGACCGGGTTAGCAGATTTGTGCTTCTCCGAGGTCCCAGGACTTGCACCCTTTGGGCCGTCCGGGAAGCCTTGCTTCTTATTCTTGAATGGCTTCTTATTCCCCGTCTTCTCTTCTTCTTTAGGGGTCTTTTCATTCTTCTCCTCCTTTCTTTCTTCCAGGGTCACGTACCTCCCTGCCCGGACCATCGCTTCTTCGAAGGTATCCGGGGGATGGGTAGTGAGATCGGTGTGAAGGAGTCCATCCTGTAATGCCGCCGTGAACATAGCCAACCTGGATTTATCATCAGTTCCTTCAACCTCCCTGGACTCTTTCCTACATCGGATAAGGAAATTCTTCAAGGATTCACCATGCTTCTGTCGCACTGATGCCAAGTGAGTGAAATGCTTCTTGGGACGGCAGTTCCCGGCAAAATGCTCTAGGAACCGTAGTCCCAATTCATCCCATGTTCGGATTGATCCGGCAGGGATATGGTTGACCCAGTCTGCAACCTTGCTATCAACGGTCTGCAAGAAGCACCGACACATGAGTGCGTCACTGGCGTCCACGGCGATCATCACTTGGACATAGCTATTTATGTGCTCTTGGGGGTCTGACTCGCCGTCATAACGCTTGACAAATGGCATTTTGAATCCCTGCGGATATGGTTCCGCAAAGATCTCCGGAGCCAAGGGAGTATTCGTTCGGGTAGTGAATATTCGACCCTTATTTATCTTCCTCTGCATCTCCTGGATCTGCTGTCTCAGGTCTTGAAATTCACCAGCTTCCGGCGCCAGCAGTCTCAAACGCCGTGGTGCTGGGACCCTGGCTTGGCTTTGAACTTCGTCCGCCTCCAGGTTCCGTAACGACCGGACCGGCACTTGGCTCGCGCCTCGGTCGTTCCGCTGCCGGGGTTCGCGATTGGAAGATGCCACCTGGCTGGCCTGGGGTCGTATCCAACCCTGGGGTGCCTTTTCCGGATTCTTCCCCAGCCTCTCACTAACGTGAGCTTTCTGGCGAGATATCCTTTCAAAGACAGATCCCCGCGGGTTTTCGTGTCCATCACCGAAGATCCGGCTTAGATCCTTAGCATGGCCTTCGTTCACCTTGTTATTTCGGGCCAATTCCTCCGCCCGGCGTCTGTCAATGGCTCGCCTTTCCCTTTCAACCTCCTCCGGATCATGGAGCTCCTGTAGGATAGGAGAACTCGCGGTACGCAGGACCTGGCGGGGTTGCCCGGCGGGGATATCCCGGGTTCCGGATGGACCTGGAAGAGCCTTATCCAATCGCTCCATAATGTTGGCCATCATGTTAGCCACATTATTTAGCGCCATTTCCAACCCATTGACAGGGACAATCATACCCTGTTCAGGGTTGTCACTCCTCACCGTCGACTGGGCAGAAGTAGCAGGGTTACGTCTCGTCCTTCGTCCGGCCATAATCTCACAGCCTTATCTCTCAATTTTCTCTCAATGGAAGCACCAATGATGGGATTAACCCGATCAGATGGCGGACCAAGAATGAAATATGAGTTAGGAAGATATAATCACTCGATAATATTCTTTGATTGAGTATTGAACTGTTTTGTTGTGGCTTGCTTTACAACGGCGGGGTCCTCCCCTTTTATAGTACTTCTAATATTCTAATTAAAATTATACAAAATGGAGATGGATTATGGAGATCATGGGGTCGTGATTCCCCCTCTTTCCGGTCTCGTTCTCTTCCCATTTCGCTCACAACTTGACGATGTGGGCCACGTGTCCCGTTCCTCCCTTGGACTGGATCAACTTGACCTATCCCATGTTTGGGCTGTTTTCCTTCGCTTGCCAGATGCGAGATAACGGGCTTGGCCCGTCATCCCCATCTGATCTTATTCCTTTTGGGCTATTACAGGCCTTCATTTGGGCCTGGAGTCGGGCCTACCAGACCCGATATCCATCAATATGTGTCCACATTTGATAAGTACATGTACAAGAAAATACTCAATTCATATATTTATTTTTTTTTTAAAAGTTGATCCCTATAAAGTACTCTTTTGTTCCTCATAGATCTTCCTATTATCCCTTATAGATCTTCTCATTACCTTTTTTAATATTTAAAATATTACAACTAACCTCACTTACTTTATTTACGAGTATTATACTTCACACATCTGATTTAATACACTTCATCCGTTTTCATTAATGATATTTTTGTAAATTTTCATATTTTTTCATTTCTCCTTGCAAATTATAAAAAGTCAAAATGAGAATGTTTCCATGAGTCAAAATGAAAATATTAGCTGTCAAAAAAAAAGTAGAACAGGCTTTTACACACTTAGGACTGCTGGGCTAATTAAACAAGTTGGGCCGAGCTATATTTCCGACATCACAAACTAAAAAATAGCCCCCACAAAAATAATTTTAGACAACAAGTTGGGCCCAAAAGTAGTTTATTGCTTCGCACATTTTTTATGGTTCGGAAAACCGGGTACAAGGGCTGCGTGGACCATGCTCAACTAGACTTTAGACTTTTATCTTACTTCTTCCATCTCAAAATAAATTATTGGCTTTTTGATAAATTCTAATTACTTCCTCCGTCCCAGATTATTTGTTCACTTTCATTTTTACACACCATCCAATGCACTTCTTTAATCTATTTTATCTTGTAATTTGTATATTAAAAAATTATAGAAATTATATATTACTCCGTAATAATCTATATGTTAAGACAAATCAAATAAAATCACACATGATTATATTTAGGCTTATACATTGAGAGAATTTGATGAGTCAAAGTGCTTAGATGAATAGTTCCAAAAGTCAAAAGTGGACAAAAACTGAGGGACGGAGGGAGTATTTACCATCTACATCTTTGTTTAGTTTGGTTTTTTTGAGTCAAACTAAATGATATTTCAACCTTAATTAAATAAAAATGGAAAAACATATTGATATTAAAATAATTTCACATAGTCTATCTTGTAGAGAACTTTCAAATTTTCCTTTCGTTATATAAATATGTTATAAAAATTTAGGATGATTGATGTTCAAAATGGATGAACTTTGAACATCAAATATTCTAAAAAAAGTGAGACGATAATTTTAAGATGAGGAAAGTATTAATTACTCCAAAATTTTTTATTCTAAGACGATAATTTTTTATTTTCATACTCCATTTGTTGAATTCTTTTTACCATTTTGACTTTCATACTAAAATTCTCTAAATTTAATCACGAGTTATGAAAAAAATATTAAATTACTTCGTATCATATTTACTTTTATAATAGACAAATATATGTAAATCGAGATATTAATAATTAAAATATTAAATTAAAAAAAGTAAAAAATTAACTGGAAAGAAAATCTCATCCACACTTTCTTGGGGTGGCCCACTTTGATGAAGCTCAACATCAAAGGCCCTTGAATGCAAAAGTGATCACTGAAAGCGACCTGCAACTCATCTCTTTCCTTCCTCTCTATCCGTTCCTCAAATTCATTCATCCAAAAAGGCCCACACCCACAAAGAAATGCCCAAAAATTCACTTTCTTTTGCTAGTCAAGAAAGCCTAAATTACCGCCAAAGCCGGCGCCTAATGAGGACCCAAAGAAATTACACAATGGGTATTTATTGTTCCAGAGATTAGATTAGAAAAAGAGTTAAAAAAAAATGGGGTCTTTTTAATTCCATTTATTTGTTTATTTATGAACTGCCTTCCTTTTTTCCTACCCATTCGTCCATTCATTCATTCGAAATCCCAAATTTGTCAAGACAATTTCCTCTTTTTCTTTTATTTTGTTGTTTTTCTTGATCTGTGCAAATCTGTGAATGTTTGGTATGCCTTAAAGATTTGTGCCTGTTTTGCCTGCCTGAGACTATCTTTGCTTTGTTGGAGTCGTTTGTTGTTTTTTTCCCCTTTTTCTAAGGAGAGAGAATGGCAAACCTCTCTCCTTAGGATTATTTTGCTTTGAGCTTTTTCTGGGCTATGATGATTCTGCCATAATTGGGGATTGATTCATTGGGTAGGGTTTTTTTTGTTTGAAAAGTTTCAAATAAAACAAAAGAGAGAGAAATGGGTTGCTTTTATTGTATAAGATTAAGAACTTCTTGTAAAGATGTTAAGGATTATGGTGAAGGTATGGTTCGTCAATCCGCCAACTCTTCAGGTTTGTTCTTCTGGAAAAATCTATTTGGAATTATATTTCTTTTTGGATTCTTAGTTGTTGACATTGTTCTTTTATATAAATGAAATTTCATTCTTTTATACAATGTGCATATGAATTTATGATTCTTTTTTTCCCAATGGCATACGATTTTCAGCGAATGTGAAGGTCAAGGCTCACGACGATGATGATAACGATGCTGTTGGTGAGAAAATTGTACTTTTTTGTGCTAAGTTAATGGTCACAATATGCTGCCTGTATATATAATGTTAGATTGATATAATGCTGTCTACCTGGGTTTTTGGTTCTTGAAGAATTTTTCTTTTCCTCTTCTATCTTTGGGTATGTTTCTATCAAGGAAAATGGTATAGAAAATGAAAGAAAATGGTTTTGTTCCATATCTGTTTGGTTTTACTTTGGAAAGATGCAAAATGAAAAAAAAAATGAAAATGGTTTTTTCTTTTGAAGATCTGTTGGGTTTGAATCTGTATTGTTTCTTCCCTCAAATGGTTGTTTCCTTGCATTTTAACTCTCTATTTCCCCTCCCTATTTTCTTTTCCAAAGACTTTCCTGGTTCCAAAATGACCCTTTGGTGTTCACCTGCAGGGAAGAAAAAAGCTGCTTTGAGAGGCAAAAATGGAGAGACCAATGGCCATAAGGACAACGTGGCCCGTAGTTTCACGTTCAAGGAGCTCGCAAGTGCAACACAAAATTTTAGGGTCTCCAATTTGCTCGGGGAAGGCGGGTTCGGGAGCGTGTACAAAGGACGCCTAGATGGTGACATGGCAAGATTTTCACTCCTTGAAATGCTTTTGTTTTTTTTTTTAATTATCAAAGCATGATCATTTAGGGCCCATAAGGGTTGTTTGCCTAGACTCTGCGGTAGTTGAACTTGTTGACTTTTATGAAATGAAAAGAGTTTCATAACATACTAAAAATGGTTTGAAAACAATTATGAACACTTGCACAAATTTCAAAAGCAAGATGTTTCTGCTTTTATTGCAATAAAAATGGTTTTAATGAATTGGGAAATCATTACTTTTTTAGCTTTTATTGTCTTTAAAACACTTTCCTAATTGAAAAACACTGATTTGGCACTTTTTTTTTAAAAAAAAAGTGTTTAGTTGAAAAAGTGCTTCAGACAGTCATTCTAAAGGGTACTTAGTAAGTCAAAATCCACTTATTATGACAGAACAAGCCAAAATAAGCAACCCAAAATTGGCTACCAAACAGAGTGTCTGTTTTCTTTGTATCATCAATTGCTTATGGTATGTTCGAAACCGGTTTCTATGTGTGGCCAAATGGCCAAGTACAGTGCTCGGTTCTTGAGGGCCTTCCGGTCTACGTGGGCCCCGATCTATTTTCCATTGGCATTGAACCGAGAAATATGTTCGGTTTTAATTGTTTATCCGAGTACATACACCCTCCCAAGACTCTACTTTTTGTGGGATTTTACTGGGTTTGTTATGTTGTATTTAATCTAATGATTGGTCTTATATTGGTCAGATTGTTGCTGTCAAACAACTAAATCTTGATGGGTTGCAAGGGAACCAAGAATTCATCGTGGAGGTGCTGATGTTGAGTTTACTTCACCACAAGAATCTTGTGAATTTGATCGGGTACTGCACCGACGGTGATCAAAGACTCTTGGTTTATGAATACATGCCTATGGGCAGCTTGGAAAATCACCTCTTTGGTATATCTTTTGTTACTTCATTTCATCTACTTTTAGTTTATAAGTTCAATGATATAAAAGGGTCCTTAATTTACACACTACATTTTTTAATGGTATAAAATGCTTGAAAGACTATACGCTCTAGCTATTCGAGGAGGTTGACAGAGGTGGACTGATAAAGTCTACATTTTGACTTCACGAAGTTTAAAAAAAGTGTTGAAAAGTAAAAAGTCTATGATTGAAAAGTATGGGAGTGTAAACTTTTATTTTTACATTCCAAAAAGGAAAGTAAAAACTTCAGTTTGGGAGATATGGAGTAGATTTTTTTCATTATGGATACAAATTTCCAAAAAAAAAAAAAAAAACTTTTTCAAGACCTAAAACAGATAACAGTATAGTTACATGGATGAAAGTAATTTTTTTTAAAATCAAATTTATGCTGTTTGAACCTCAGGTTTCTATGATGAGTTCATTGCTTTCCTCTTTGAGAGGGCTTTGTATGGTTTTTTAGACATTACTTCAGTAGATTTACTATATTACCCTCAGATGTTGAGCCGGGGAAGGAGCCACTAAGCTGGCGTACAAGGCTAAAAATTGCAGCGGGGGCAGCTCACGGGCTCGAGTACCTTCATTGCAAAGCGAATCCGCCGGTCATATACCGAGACTTGAAATCCTCAAACATATTGCTGGACAAAGATTTCAACCCAAAGTTATCGGATTTCGGGCTTGCGAAACTGGGACCCGTCGGCGACAACACTCACGTTTCGACACGCGTGATGGGGACGTACGGGTACTGTGCGCCCGAGTACGCGATGAGCGGCAAACTGACTCTCAAGTCCGACATTTACAGCTTCGGCGTGGTTCTATTGGAGTTGATAACCGGACGTAAGGCTTATGACAGCAGTAAGAATCATGGGGAGCAGCACTTGGTTCTTTGGGTGAGTTCTCTTGATTCTTGATTATTACTCCATCCGTCCCAGTGTATTTGTCCAGTTTGACTTTTTCGAGTCAAACAAGAAAAAACTTTGAACTTCAATTAAATGAAAACCGTAATATATTTTAACATAAAAATGACTTTATTGAATTTATCGTATTGAGAACTTTCAAAATTATATTTCATTATGTTAATATGCAATACAAATTGAGAGCAATTGAAGTTAAAAGTTTATCCAGTTTAACTCGAAAAAGTCAAACTGGACAAATACACTGGGACGAAGGTAGTGGTGATTTATTGGGATTTTCAAGCCCTAGAAATTGCCCATAACGCCCTTGTGCATGTTTCGAATCTCACGGCCTATATCGTCTTTTTGCAGTGTCGGCCGTTCCTAAGGGACCGGAGTAAGTTCGTGGAGATGGTTGACCCGCTACTCGAAGGTCAATACTCCGTCCGTTGTCTGCACCATGCGGTTGCAATCACCGCAATGTGCCTTCAGGAACAGGCAAACTTCCGACCGCTCATCAGCGACATTGCAGTCGCACTAGAGTACCTTGTCTCTCAAGCAGAGAACTCGGACTCCCACAGGCCGGGCAGGCGGGGCAGGTCGGATGACCCGCCCAAACCGAATTCTGGCCTCGACCCGACATTACGAGGCTCTGGCAACCTCTCTCTTCCATCTTAAAAGAACCCTCGGGCCTCGGCAGTCCCCATCAATGCTCGCGCTCCTTCGCGGGTTCGTAGTGGAGATCAGGTGTACATATGTATGTACGGAGACTTGTGTGTGTGTGTGTGTGTTTTGTTTGCTTGTTTGTTTTAGTACGAGGTAAGAGGAAGAGAGACATGTTTGGTATGTTTGTTGTGTGTGAAGAGTTTTGTGTCAATTAGAAGAGGAAAAAAAAGCAAAGAGAAAAGCTAACTTGTTTATAGGCATTGAGAGAGCATTGTGGACAAATTGACTCATATTCTCACATAGTCCAATTGTCTTTTTTTACTCATCCCTTTGTCCTAAATTAGTTGTAACATTTTGTTTTCACGGGGTTTAAGATAATTATTGAAAACTTCACACTTCTTTTTCCTCCATTCAAAAATAAATTTCATCCTTTTCATTTTTCTTGAAGAATGGTAGACAAGTTTTCTCTCTTTTAAATAAATTTTAATGGCATACTTTTATTTTTCTACGAGTAATACTAAGTGCGCTAGAAATATCGGACTTCAAAAAAGAACTTCAAAATTTCTTTATCTACCCGTCTGCACCACATAAGTTTTAACCATTTTTAAGTTACACCCAATTCACAGGAAACATGTGAGCTTCAAACTAGGGCTTTAAATGTTTATTACTTTATTTTTGTTACATTCTATAAATTAAAATTAATAAGATTTCGTTAAAACAACATAAATAAAAATTACATCTGTTTTAAATAAAAAACGTAAATAAAAGTTATATAAAATTTAAATAAAGCACATAAAAAAGTTTCATAAAATTAATGATAATTTGAATGACTGAAAATACATTCAATCAAGTCCGTCGCTAGTGCGTCATGAATCTCTTGGCTTCGGATTTCTTGGCTATTTCTTCATTTTTTTTCTTCGTTGATTTCTTCGTAGGTGGGTGCGTCCTCGTTCGGGTTATAATGACAAATTGCAAATCTATTGCCCTCTATAATCATATTATGAAGAATAATACATCCACATATAGTATTCATCATTTTTTGTTGAGAAAAAACACTTAGATGGTCGACCTATAATGTGCCACTTACCCTTCAGCACACCGAAGGCTTGTTTGATATCTTTTTTTGCCGCATCATAAGCTTTTTTGTACGTTTATTTACCGTTTAAGGCATATCAGTTCTGAAAGCAACTTGACATTTGTGAAATAATTTGGATATATTCTATCCTGAAGGTGATACTCATGCTTGTAAAGCGTCCCTCTAAGCTCAAAAGATAAATCAAGTGCAGTCTTGCTAACCAAATTGCCAAATGCATGCGACTAATCAAGAACACACCAAAAAAACATGGCAAAACCGTAGGTCATTTGGAGTAACGGCTTCGAGCATAATACTAGGTTTGGGATGATCGCCACGTGCATACTGACCATGCCGCGTAGTGGGACAACTTTTCTATTCTCAATGCATGCAATTGATGCTCCCAAGCATGCCGACGAAGTCGTGCTTAGCATCGGCATGTGTAAATACATATTATGGTACATGCAAATAATAGCTTTAGAAAACTTATGGACACACATGACCTGATGTTTCGAGCTGATATTTCAAGGTATTCGTCGAACATATCACTAGCGGTTTCATACGCCATCTGACGAAGTACTACGATACACTTTTGAATGCTGCTAAAATTGACCCGACCTCTCGCATCAACTTGTTAGGTGAACTAAGGAACCTCTCGTTCAATATCATGTAGTATTCTTAAGAACAAAGAATGGCTCATTCGAAGACAGTTACTAAAATCTCCCACTGTATCAACACACGGGGTGTTAAAGTAATTTTGTTGAGTAGTGCCTGGTCACAGTTTAAATGCTCACATTTGGCTAAGCGTCTTAACATTCTGCCTCTTCTTGTTGTAGTTGTTGCCACCACCGATAACATCCCGTTGAGAAAATACAAAACACGAACACATTTTCTTCCTCTCTAGTTGAAAATGGTGATGCCATTTTTTAATAAAAAAAGAGAGTATTATTTTTGTTGTAGAGTGAGAATAAATTTTGTTTGTATCTTTATACCCCTCTGTCCCATATTATCTTCTTTCTTTTCTGTTTGGATTGCCCTAAAATGTTCTCCTTCTTTCCTTTTAAGAAAACAAATATGTGGTAGATATCAATTTTCTTACCTCTACACAAATCACAACCACCAACGTTTTACTTTATCAAAAATCGTGTCAAGTCAACCCCAAAAGATAATTTCAAGACGGAAAGAGTATAAAATAAAAGGGTACTTATAATTGAAAATGAAAACATAAAATTTTTTTTCTATCTTTCTCTGCACGTCAAACGTTGAATGCAGCGTACATAACGCTGCCCTAACTGGTAAGGGGGCGGTGTTTAACATCTAAAAGGCGTTAAAATCGGTTTGGCGGGGGGGGAGGGTCACACGTATTTCGAGTGCCCTAATGTCAAACTCCATGAAGTCAAATTTTGAAATTTATTTATGAGTGATTAATGTGTTTCAGAAGAGTAACACATTCATAAGCTATTAAGCACACAGGTACATGCATAAATACATAATTATTAGGGAGTATGAGATAGTAATGTGTTTGTGGAGAGTAACACATGAAGTAATGATCATAACAAATGATGTATAGAAGTAAAGAATACTACTCCGTACTAACTTATTTCACAGAAGAAGAAAAAAGACAACTTTATTTGGAGAGGAACGTTGTTCATTTTTGTTCCAGTCACACACAGGACATGAAACCATAACATTTAGTATGGAAAAACAAAAGACAACATGCTTTAAAAAAAAAGAAGACAAAAGACAACATGGTTAAACACAGAAACATTCAGATTTACAGAAACAAGCGACGCCGTTTCATAGTATGAAAAGCATACTCAAAGCAGTCGACATTATTGTTTCACATAGTGTGCTGCTTCTCCACTCTCACAATGTTGGTCTTGTGTTCAGACGGGAAGCGACCTTCTGACCAAGAGATCTATCGGCCTGCGCACGATCAAAATTTGACCAAAAATTAGTGTTCGGTAAGAGTTGTTTGGCTGAAATGGCCGATTTTTTTGAGAGGAAGTACCGTGACGGCCATTTCAGCCAAGCTAAAGAACAACCCAATAAAGGCTACCAAACGGGTTATAAGGTCTAGGCAGGATATTGTCATTATACCTGAGTGAGGTATGAAATCCAAATGCTGCGAAGTTCATGGGTGACTCGCGGTTCGGACAAGGACTTGACCCATCGGTTGATAAATCGGTCTTGCCTGGATGAATTGAAGTAAACAAAGGATGAAAAATAAGCAACGGTTTATACAACAACAACAAGCCTAGTAAGATCACACAAAAAGTAGGGTCTTAACTTCTTAATAGGGTTTGTGTAAACTGTAAACAAACCTTACCCCTACTCAAAAGCTCAAAAGTAGAAAGACTATTTCAAAGCATAGATTTATACGTTGGTGGAAATGGTAGGATTGACCATTTTGGCACCAAATAAATTGCTTAAACTTTTACATAAATAAAATTTGTGAAATATTCAAAAAGGATGGGAGAAACACCTGTCTGGGTCCCAAGATCTGTATCTGTCTCCAGGTTGCTTGAAGTTATTCTCCTTCTCAATAACACACTGCCAAAATTCAATTGAATATCCTCATTAGAGTTAGACCACATACATTCATTCCATTAGGCCCCGTTTGTGAGGGTGTTATATTGTGATTTTAAAAGTTAGTTGATGCATGTTCTTGTTGTTGTATAAACCAATCTTGAAAACTTGCCAACATAGAGGTGAAAACCAGTTACATTTCTTGTTTCTACTATTTGGTTTCAACTTCACACTTTCTTGAAAGTAAACCTTATCCCGCGATCAACACTGCACACTTTGCACCGAGACGTGAAAACAAGAGCCTTTCAAAAATTTATGAAATATTTGGGTGTCGGGACATTTCAAGGATGGGAAAAGACACTTTTTTTGAAGAATCATTGCAACATAATGCATAGTGTGTGGTAAGGGGTCTCACCTTATCACGCCGACCGGCAACAATCCGAGTAGGAGTTGGGAACTTCTCAGCATTCCGGGTAGAATCAAACCTCGAAGGGAAGTAATCAATCTGCAATATGAAATCACATCAAGATTATCTTTATGTATATGCCAAATTTTTTTAATCAAACATGACTTTAATAAAAAATGAAAAGTGTTCTCCTGAAATGAAGTTCATGTACCTCCTCATCCCTGTGCGTGAAGTTCATGTACCCATCGTAGCTATTGTTGTGATAAGCGCACTTGGGAGCATTGACAGGGAGGAGCATATAGTTAGGGCCAAGCCTGTGGCGGTGAGTGTCGGCATAAGCAAAGATCCGAGCCTGGAGCATCTTATCGTCGGAGAAGTAAATTCCAGGAACGATGTGAGCTGGATCCATGGCCAACATCTCGTTTTCGGCGAAGAAATTGTCGATGTTCTTGTTCAGCACCATCCGGCCCACCGGCTGCAGGGGGATCTGGTCCTCCGGCCAGATCTTAGTGGTATCCAGGGGATCGAAATCGAACCGGTCCTCGTGATCCGGATCCATCACCTGAATGAAAAGCTTCCACTCGGGATAATTCCCGGCGGCGATCGATTCGTACAGATCCTGAGTGGCGTGGCTGTGATTGGCGCCGCCGATCCGCGCGGCCTCATCCTCGAGGAGACACTTGACGCCGCAGGTCGGCTTCCAATGGAACTTGACGTAATTGACCTTGCCGGATTTGTTGATCAGAGTGAAAGTATGGACGCCGAATCCCTCCATGTGCCGGTAATCGGTCGGAATCCCGACGTCATCGTAGAACCAGGCGAAGGTATTGAGGCTCTCCGGGAGGTGAGACAAGTAATCGAGGATCCTCCAATTCTCCTGGATATGCGATTTAGGGTTAGGCTTGAACGCATGGATCACTTCGGGGAACTGGGCGCCGTCCCGGATGAAGAACACGGGGAAGTTGTTCCCAACCAGATCGAAGTTCCCCTCGCGGGTGTAGAACTTGATGGCGAAGCCGCGAGGGTCGCGGATGGTCTCGGGGCTGCCGCGCTCGTGGATGACGGTGGAGAAGCGGGCGATGAGCGGGGTCTGGACGCCGGGCGCGCGGAGGAAATCGGCGCAGGTGAGGTGGGTGACGTCGTGCGTGACCTCGAAGAAGCCCTTGGCGCTTGCCCCCCTCGCGTGGACAACTCGTTCAGGGATTCTCTCCCGAGTGAAATTGGCTATCTTCTCCACCAAGTGATAATCTTCTAGCAGGATTGGCCCTGCACACCAAGTTTCAGTTACTAGAAGATATTCATTGGTATGAGAATATCATTTTCAATTAGCCTAAACATTGCACATGACACAGATTAATTTTAAAACTAACAACATTAAACGGTATTCGTAGATAATCTTTTCAAAACGTTGATAGTATTCTGTAACATACTCATTATTAACTTAAACTGGTTTATAAGGTATAAATGAGATAATATATTTAAAATCTATTTCTAGTTCATTAAGGTCTACCACTCAAAATATAAAAGTCTTCAATGTCAATAAATAATTTCATGCATGGGAGCTATTCCCTTTACAGATAATATGAGAGTCCTACAATTCTCTGCTCCATTAGTAAAAATAATCGTTCATATTTCTTCTAACTCTTTCGGTAAGTCTCTCCACCATGTATCTAAACTTACACTTTCAATTGCATCTCTCAAATCTACTTGTCTTTGAAATCAAAATTTTTACTTCAACATCAAATAAACTTAAATGAAGTGAAGGGTGCGATGGCGTACGTGCGCTAGGACCGGAACGGGGTGGAGATTTACCAGGGGGTTAGGAGGCAAGGAGCACCAATGTTAACAAATGGAACATCATAATGTCCTCTAATAATCTTTTGATATTGCTAAGCAATGTGAAGGGAACCGCTCCGATCTTTTGATACCCTTTTTTTATAATCGCGCTTCCTTGATACATAGTGAAACTAAAGAATTAATTTTGATACTCCCCTGTTTAAATATTATCCTTCTGTTGCGTCTTACTATGTTCAATTAATTTATTTTTCAAATACTTTATATGATAAATAATGTAGAATTAAAAAGAAAATACTGTATTTAAAACCACATCAAAAGATCTCAAAAAACTAAAAGTAGCATGACTATATTAAGCTATCAAATAAGTAACAACATTAGACCATAAGGTGAATAAAATTTAATAATGAGCGTGGATATAATTTTCGGACAGAGTGCGTACATAATTTTGAGAAATCAAAATGAATAAATATTTTGGTAAGAAAAATACGGAGTAAAAAACAAATGCTTACCTCTGGTTCCGACGGTTAGGGCGCAGGTGTTGTTCCAAACAGGAGCGCCAGAATTAGTTGTGCAAAATGGGGTGTTGAAGCTACTCGAAGGTCTGTGCTATATTATCATCAAACCAAAAAAAAAACGAAATATATTTTCATTAATTAAATAATCAATATTGTGCTGGTTAATTTTTGTTTTGTACTCTTTCTGTCTTAAACTAAACTCTATGTTTAGTTGTTTACTATTAATAAGGTTAAATTTTATTCCATTTTTGTCTTATTTTTACTATTTACTCCGGTATTTGATAAAACAATACATATATCACCGCTTGTTTCGTATAGTTTTTGTATTAGTATTTTAATATGTAAATTTTTTTTAATTACTCTCCGATTCTTAAATAAATTTTATTGAAAATATACTCAGTTAAACATTAAAAAATGAAACAAACGATTTAAATTGAGACAGATGAAGTAGAACTTTTAACGTACCTTTTATATATATAGACGGAGTATAATTTATTTCTTGTTTCCAAAGCAATAATCTTTAAATAGAATGAATTAAAAAATTTAAAATTATATTTCGTTTTACGAAAAGTGTAAAATATTTTAGGAAGGAAAGAGTATTATTTGATATTTTCCAGCAAAAGAAAAGGAGCATAATAAAATGAAGAGAAAACAAAGGAGTACGCCAATTTAGTGTATCCTAAGTGTACATGCACCAGCTTCTCATAGACAAACACAGACACCGCTATCTATGTTTCACACAGAGAATTAAATAGAGACAGTGAATATATGTGAGAAATTGGTGTATAACTAGGATACACACCTCTAAATTTTTCCAAAACAAAAATGAAGTGTTGAGGGTATACCTTGGAGGGATCCATGGATAAGACTTAAGAGTGCAAGGGGTGGGGATATGATAAAGGGGAAGAGAGTACATATATTTATACTCCGTGTCTACACACACATGATATTTTTAGTATGATACACTAATAATGGGTTTCTAATTAAAAAAAAAAGCTTATTAAAAAAAAAAAGATCCATATAATATAGGGGATGCAAGTGGATTGGGACCATCGTAGTTAAACAGCACACATGCAACAAGAATGGCAGATCCATTATCCATTTTGTTTTGTAGTGCTTGACCAAAGTTGATTTAATCATGGATATGCATGCTCCCAAGTTTATAATTGATGCCATTTTTTAATAATTTTATTTATGTAGCGTTGGAAATTGTGTGCCGGGTTTATTTTACGGAAAAATCAAATAAATAACACTCTCATATACAGAAGGATGAAACCCTATCTATTAGCTTAAACTTTTAGATAGAAAGTGAATCCGGACTTTATATATGAAAGTAGTCAAATTTCAACCAACACTCCACCTAGTTCACTCGGCTCATCGAAATTATAACATGGTATCAAAGCCAAGTTCGATTTGAATTCGATTCATCCTGGTATTCACCGAGCTAGCTATAAAGAGATTGAAATACTAGACTCATTATTCATTCATCTAAGTAGTAACTAGACCATGCTAGTTACCAATTGAGAGGGTGTTAGAAATCGTGTGTTGAGGTTTATCCCACACCAAAAAAATCAAACAGATAACACACATGATATTTTTAGTAAACAGATAAGTCGTTGTTTTTGTCTATTTTTACACTTTTTAATGATTTTAATTATAAAAAATTATTTTAAAAAATTATTTTATTATTAAAATATATTTACTTCTTTTAAAAAAAAAATTTAAAATATTAAAAATATTAAAAATATTAAAAAAAATAAAAAATGAGAGAGTCATATCTTGCACATGGAATGAAATACCATGATTTGAGTGGAATTTGCTGACATATATGGCATGGCAAGGCAAGACATTGTCCTGCCATTGTGAATGCTCTTAGCGTAAGTTTTTGGATAGAAAGTAGATCTGGACTTTAAATGAGTCGGTGGTCAAATCTCACCCAGCACTCTGTCCAATTTACTCGGCCACTAAAATTCTAACATATATTTGTGTGAATATTAAGAAAACATATATTAAAAAAAGAGTAAATTCCATAATTGGTCCTTTATAATAGGGGGTTTCCATATTTAGTCCTCTATTATCAAATATTACCTCCGTAGTCCTTTTTTAAGGGTACCTTTCCACAAATGGTCCTTTTTTTGATCTTCTGTCGTGTTGGTGTTAATTTAAAGGCTAAAAGTATAATTTGACATCAACATTATGTTTAATGACGTGTTCTGGTATTGGTTAAGCGGATAACACAAAAATAATGACTATGGTTGTGGGCTAGGGTTCTGACGAAAGACCACATTTGTAGACTATGGTTGTAGTAGAAAGCGACTGTAATTCACAAACGACGCAAACGGAACAGCCTTTGAAATTGTGTGTGACAAAAAAGATATATTTTCATTGTGAAATTACACTTTTAGCTCTCAAATTAACACCAACATGATAGAAGATCAAAAAAGGACTATTTATGGAAAGATACTCATAAAAGAAGGACCACTTGGATAATATTTTATAATAGAGGACTAATTAGGGAAACCCCCCTGTTATAAAGGATCAATTATAAAATTTACTCTTAAAAAAATTAAAGAATTGCATCAAAAGAGCCACTTTGTGTGTGTGTGTATAAGATAAAAATTAAAGTAGTATTACTATATTATTTTCTCATTCGATAAATAAAACTATATAAAAAATACCCCTAGTAAATAATTTGAATGCGCGCCCGAATAGTTATAGTAAAAAATTAAATGAGAGGGTGGAGTATTTCTCTCTCATTTTTTTATTGATGTCTCTAAAACTTTTTTATTTCTTAATACTATATTTGGTTCAAAAAATTTGAAAAGAAAAAGAAATAAAATAAGAAATAAAACAATTTTAATATTTTGGGAAGAAAAATCTATTAGGAGTAAGAACTTATTTTCATGAGAAAAATCATTGAAAATTATTTTCTTTTTCCATTCTTTTCAAATCTCTTGATGTAAATATAGCGAAAAAGAATACGAATGGTGAAATTATTTTGTAAACAATAGGACGTGGGGCCATTAAGAAATCCTAGGGGGTATCACGATTACTATTTATAATCATCTGATTTGTCCATATCATTATTCCATAATAAATAACCCATATTATTAGCTCCAGCTTACGTGGCCTTCTTATCTTGAAAATTATTTTTAAAAGCATAAAAACAGTTACACTAAATATCACTAAATATTTAGTGATATCACTTAAACTGTTTTCCTAAATAGCACTAAAACTTAAGTCATTTTCCTAAATATCACTTAAACTGTTTTATTCCCTAAATAGCACTTAATAATGTCCATAATGTCCAGTGATGGTGAATATTTGTTTGAATAATGACTAATGCATAATGACTAAAAGTGCTACATTAGGAAGAAAAACACATATAATGCTATTTAGAGAAAGTCGTTATGTTTTAGTGCTATTTGAGTAAATTCCTCTGAAAAAAAGTCTCCGGTGTAAGGAGGAAATGAACATGGATGTTAATATCTATTAATTACCACCTCAAGGCACTAATGAAAGTGATACGTCGGGGATTGATATCAGCGAGTGAGATGAAGATTCGCAACGAAATGATAGACGCAGCCCGCATCATGATCGGACGAGGGTACACCCAATTTTTTTTCCTCGAAAAAACCCCCCTCTACAAATAACCTTACAGGTGAAACTCCTGCTCCGGACGCCCCTATACTCCGGCCCCGACATAATAGTGATGAGGGTAAATGATTGTATAATATTTTTTGAAATTTAGTCCTTAGAGACGTCATCTCGTGCCCGGTACGCACAAGAAGCTATTGCAAAGAATAGAACTACTACATTGTTGCCGTCAAAATTTGACTCCAAATTAAAATCTACTCTCTCTGTTCTCAAAAACACTTCCTCATTCATTTTTTTTTCACTTCTAACAAAACACTTCCACTTTCTATTAAAAAGTCACTTTTATTCTTACTTTTTTATACCTTAGCTATCACATCATTTTTTATCTAATAATATATCAATCACATCTTACTTTTACCTATTACATAAGATTTGCAAATGGCTTTAGAGGAATGTGAATAAGACACATCCGGAAATTGGGCAAAATAATATGAAAGCACATGTTGGTGAATATGGCAAGAAACCGTGTCCATCATCACCCATCCCCTCACTTTCCTCAAAATATCTAAAGCCAACTTGTCATATTTGCCCATAGCCCACAACACTACACTCCCAAAAACGCCCACCTCAAGTGCCCCACAACTCGATGTTTTGTGTCCATTATGCACAATGAGTTATTACAAATAATAGAACTTTCACATTACTGTCGTCGAGATTTGATCATACGATTAATGAGCTTCACATCCTTTTCTTAAATTAGTTGAGCTACCCATGCAGACACAATTCCTTCCATTTGGTTTGTGCCTTGCGGTGATAATTAAGGAACCTAGGACAATATTGTTATACAAAGTACTTTAATATGTCCCTCACGGCTCACGTAGTCACGTGTAAGTACACATAACTATTTTGAGTGTTGCATGAGAAATTTACTTTTTTAAAGTTGGATGATGATGAATTCAAATCGTGATTACTTGATCAGTCGTCAAGGCTCCGATATATACCATGTCAAGAAATCAGTTTAGCCAAAACTTAAATTTATGGTTGTATGTGCAGAAAAGATTTTATATTCTAACACTTTTTTTGTTCAAAAATATTCTTTTTCATATGCTATTTACTATTTACGCAGTCAAAATTCATTGATTTTGTTTGTTTATTTACGCTATTCATTTTATAATATTATATAGTCGTATTATATTGCATTTTGTTTGACAAAATTTTAATGTATTTTTCAAATGTAAAAAAATTAGTTTTTTAATAATCATATATATTTAATAAGTTCAATTACCTCCCGTGGTTTGCAAAGTAGGAACCAAAACCCTCTCTATTTTCAAAACTTATTTCTAAGGTCATTGTGGTTTCAAAATGTTGCACCCGTGCCCCCTCTGATCATTTTCCGGCCACTTTTCTGGCGAAAAAGGGGGCATTGGTGCATATTTACTAAACCACAGGGGGCATCGGTGCTGATATTTATTTCTCGCTTATTTTTTTTCCATTTTTCCTTTATTTGTTTCTTTTATTAATAAAGGTTTTTTTAAAATTATTTTTATAATGTTCATAAAATATAAAGTTATTTTTGTTTGAAAAAATTAACATATAATGTGTGTGTGTGTGTATATATACACGTAGTATGTATATATATATATATATATATATATATATATATATATATATATATATATATATCGGTGTGTGTGTACTTCTCAAATCAACAATTTTTGTTTTTTCCGAAAAAACTAAACTTTTTTTTTGAGAATTTCAAAAAAAATGAGGAATAAAATAAGAAACAAAATAATTCAAAAATAAAAATGAATATCTTTTTCGAACATCTCAATTCTAAGGACTTTTTTGGGTTTGTCCATTTTTTTGTATCAGACTTTTTTTGTGTATTTTTATCTTACATTTTAGTTTTCCATATTTTTTATTTTTTAATTCTAGGTTTTTCTTTTTGAACTTTCCAAATAAGTACGTAATAAAAAGTGAAAATGTTTAATTTCAAATAGATGCAATATATGTTATTATTTTTATTTTTATTTCAAACACAAAAAATTTTAAAAATTTTAAAACATTATAAAAAACTAAAAATAAATTAGAAAAAAATCTAGGAAAAGGAAAAAGAAATAGAAAATATTTAAAAAAAGGAAAACACAAATAATAAACAAAAAATAAAAAAGGGGCACGAATGCCCCCTATGATTTGAAAATTATGCACAAATGCCCCCTCTTCGCCGGAAAATAGCCGGAAAATGATCAGAGTGGGCACGAGTACAGCATTTTGAAACCACGAGGACTTTAGAAGTAAGTTTTGAAAATAGAGGGAGTATTGATGCCAATTTTCCAAACCACAGGGGCACCGGAGCTATTTGGCCGAATAAACAAAACTAAAGGAACCAAAATTATTAGTTTATTACTCCGTATTAAATTCACACCTTATTTGACCATATTCACCTAAGGAGTAATTTGTATTAAAAGTACACATCTTACCAGCATTAGCGTTAAAGTTTTGAAAAAGGCTATCCAACGGCAGCCTTTAGTGTCAGCATTTTCAGAATTAATCTATAAAATTGTCTTATCATTAAATAAGGTGGATTAACGCCCCCCTTAGTTTTAGCATTGTTATTTGTATAATCATTACTTATAATAATAATAATAATAATACTAATAATAATATATAATAATTACTCCCTCCGTCCGGTAAAAAGCTTCCTACTTTGACTTTTCCTCATTTTTAGTGGAAGGTTGAATAAGGCATGAAATGACTAAATTACCCTTAATGAAGGAAAAAAAAGAAAGAACAGAAATAAGGGGACGAACACATTGAAAGCAAGCAAAGTACACCAACTACACTATTTCAATCATTATCATACATCAAATCCATGATTACATAACAAAATTTAGGCATTCCCTCTAAAATTTTTTGGAATGCCGCCCAATACTTCCTCCAAATACATCAATTTTGAATCCATTTGCAGGTTATTTAACCCCCTCCCCAAGATTATTACAGTAACACCCAGCACTACTCCCCTTTCTTCTCCATCTTTGTCTTCCTAATCTTTTCAACAATCCTTTCACATTCAGCTTTATTCCTCTTCCTTTTTTCATCCCGATGTCCAGGCGGCCTGCATATAACACCAAAAAATTAGACAATGTAACGCGACAGGTTATAAGCGAGGCGTTACTTTCACATTCAAACGAAAACCCCGATGGTTCTTACTCAGCTCAGTATGGACAGATCAAGAACCTTGCAGCACAATGTAAAGTGTCTACAAGAACAGTCAGTAGCATATGGGCCATTGCAAAGAAACAATTAGAGCTGGGCATTGCCATTGATGTCAGAAATAGAATGGCAGGAAAAAGTGGCAGAAAAAGGGCTGTCATGGATGTAAAGGCTATAACAGACACTCCCCTGAGGCGGAGGACTACTATAAGATCACTTGCAGCTGCCATCCATAAGCCTAAGTCTACTGTGCATGAGTGGATTAAAAAAGGTATGCTTAGGAGCCATTCTAATGCTATTAAACCGTACCTTTCAGATGCTAATAAAATTTCAAGGTTGAGGTTCTGTCTATGTAACTATGTAAAATGACAATCAACATATGACATTCCAAATTGTATTCACATATCATCATTGCTGAGTTTTTAAATACTAGGACTATCTGGCCACACCATTCACTACTCAGAGTCAGTTTAAGTGTAAACATGCTCATCATGGTAGGACTATAAATTCTCAGCCAAGCATCACAGAAAATGGCCTTACATTTCTCACACCCAACACTGTAACATGAGCATACCCAGATATTCAAACCCACATATTCTCAGAAATTCATCACAGAAAGTGGCCACATAGTTCATAAAGGCAGCAGTAGTGTAAACGAAAACATACCCAGGAATTCAAAGGCACACAAGCATACCCAGAAATTCAAACACCCACCAAAAATGAGGAAAAGTCAAAGTAGGAAGCTATTTCCCAGACAGAGGAACATTTAATTGTGATTAATTGCAAGGAAAATTTAAAAATTTAAGGATGTGAAAGGAACTTCCCCACTTGTACTGTGAAGCCCAAAAATGTGGATCAGGACATGGGAGCAAGATGTTCAGGATATCGATGTGGAGATGCATGCGTGAGTTTATTGCCTGAGTAGGCTCAATCTCACTTTTTTCGCACCAATCAGCATCATCAATATCACCGTCTAGAACAACGAAGTTAGGCTCCTCCCTCCCAAGAAGAAAAACAGTGTCTTTCTGAGATTCAAGAAGGACAACGTCCTTCCTCTCTCTGACCGGGGCAACATCGGCCATATCGTCGTCGCTGGCGATGACGATGACCTCGTCCTCCACCTTGTCAGAGATGAAATCCCCATCATCAATTCCAATATCCTCAAATTGTGTCTCCGGGATAATGGATTCGAAGCGCAAATCGTACGAATCCATTGCAGATCTAGGAGACGAAGCAGTTGAGTTTGGAGATAGAGAAAATGAAGAGTTCAGATCGGAAGATGTGAAGGGTTTGAGGAGGATATGGAGATTGTGATCGGATAAGATAGGGAGAGGGGAGGAGTGAATGAGGACGGTTGACGATACATTCAATGAGGGGGGGAGGGGTGTAGTTAGGAATAATGGGTGAGATTTAATGAGAGGGGTATTTTTGGAAGAGAGTGTATGAAAACGTAGAGTTGGAAGATTTTTTTCGGACGGGAAAAAAGGTAGAGTAGAAAGATTATTCTTGGACGGAGGGAGTAGTATTATTATGTCATATGAAGGGAGGAAAAAAATAGAAAGCGAGGACACAAAAACAAAACATTTACCATTATTTGTTTATGAGTGAAAATAGAGTAAGAGAGAAAACTAACAATATATCCCACAAAAAAAGAAAAATGTCTCCTCAAAATGGGGGGAGAAAATAATACTCCTTATGAGTGATGTGACTTTTCAACTTCTTTTTCCATGATTTTCTTAGTGTATGTATTAGTTCAAATACTTCCACCTTCCGAAAATAAAGTTTACGTTTCTAATTTTTCTCCGTCCGGAAATAAAGTTTACATTTCTAATTTTAATCCACACTCTTCCAAAAATACCCTTCTCTACCTTTCTTTCTTTCTTTCTCTTCTTTTTTTCCTTACTTTTTCCTTATTTCTCCTCTCTTCTCCGCCACTCTTCTCTGATCTTCTTACCTTCATTCTTTCTTTATCCTCTTTCTTTTTCTCTTTTGTTTCTCCTCCCAGCACCTCTTTTTTTCTTTGTGTAGATCTAATTTCTTCTTCTTCCTCATCCTCCTTCTCCCTCTTTCTTCTAGATCTAAACAGATCTGCAATCGGGAGATGACAGTGATTAAGGTGCTAGCGGTGATGGGGGCTAGCGGTGACAGAGTGCGGGCTGCGGATGCGGCGGCGAGGGACTGTTCTTGCTGGAGCATCAGATAGTGTGGCTGGCTGAAGCTGAATAATCTGGTCATGGTCGTGGGGGGGGTTGGTTCTGTTGGCCGCCGGCTCACCATCACCATTGAAGCAGAGGCGAAGGGGTGGAGGAGGAGGCAGAGGCGAAGAGATGTGGATCTTGAATTATTGCTGCTAAAGATTGGAATCAGAAGAAGATGGGTGGTTGGGGTTGTTCTTCCGCATTTCCGCACGAATCCACCGGCCAGAAATAGGGAATAGGGAAGGGCATTTTGGACTAATTCACTCCATAGTCAACCATCAATAAAAATGAATAAAAGTCAAAACGTAAACTTCTTTTCCGGACGGAGGGAGTAATAATTAGCCAACTTCTTTCATACAAATATTTAACTCTAAAAAATAACAATATAACCGCGATGCAGCTTTTCTAAAATATAACCCCGATGCAACTTCTTTTTCTTCAAAATATTTGAAAATTGAAAATGTAATATGAAAAAACACACAAATTAGGACATGAGAATTATGTCGAAGGTAGTATAAATGCCAGACTAAGATGTCCAGTATGACTAAATATATTATCTCCACAAATTAGAAGATCAAATCATGTTTAAAGACCACTTTCAAAATTTTAAAAAATTGTAAGGATAACTTTACAAAATCTGTTAGAGAAATCATGAGTAAAAGTATTCTATTTTATAAGTACTAAAAACATATTTAACTCTAAAAAATAACAATATAACGCCGATGCAACTTTTCAAACTAGTGCAACGCACGGACAAATCAAATAAACAACCATGCTAGAGTTACATCAAAGAATGTATTCCAAATCATATAACAAAGATATGCACTAACATTTTGATAGTTAACACTAACACAAAATACTAATGTCATAAAAAAATTTGCACTAGCATTTTATGCATGCCTGAACAGAAAAAGAAAGGGCTTTTATGGAATTTGTTCAGCCTTACTCATGTAATGCAAGATGGATTTAGCTTTCCTTTGGGCTCTATCAGTCCCACTCTGAGCCACCTCCATTAGAGGATCATACACCCCAAATTGCAGCGCCGCCAGCATCAGGTTCGAGTTGTGCATTCCCAGCTCCAGCAGAACCGCCGCCGCGCACTCCTTGTTCTTCGGGCTCCTCCCTTTTCCGATGATCCCCACGATGGTTTCCACGAATTTCAGACTCCCCATCTCCTGTCTCCCCGCCGGGTGCGACGCCAGGAGCAGCAGGATCGACAGGATCTCGTCCACGATGCCCCCCAGCTCCTCCTCTCCCAGGAACCGGACCAGCGGGTCCACGATCCCCGCCTCCACCGCCGCCGCCTTGTTCTCGCGGTGGATGCAGACGTTGAACAGGGCCGCGATGGCGTCCTTCTTCCCGCGCACGCCGCCTTCCTCCAGGAGATCGATCAGCGGCCGGATCCCGTCCCGGAACCCTATCTCCTCCTTGTTCTCGTCCAGCGTCGACAGGCTGAACAGCGCCGCCGCGGAATTCTCCCTCGCCCCCGCCGTCCCCGTCTTCAGGATCTCGATTATCGCCGGAATCGGCCTCTCCTCCGATATCGCCCTCTTGTTCGATTCGTCGATTGAGAGGTTGAGTAGCGCCGTGACTGCGTGCTCCCGGATCCTGGAATCGGGTCGGGTCAGCAATTGAACGAGGGGAGGGATTCCGCCGCACTCGGCGATCGACACCCGATTCTCCGCGCTCTCCTTGGAGAGGAACCGGATTTCTTCCACCGCCTTCAGCTGTTCTTCAGGAAGGTCCGATGACAGATAGTCGACCAGAGGTTGAAGGCGACTGTTCTTCGGAGAGGATTTCCGGGCATTATTTCCCGAATCAGAAAGGCATTCATGATCAAGATGATGATTACTGGAATTAGGGATTGGGAAGTTGTTGGCATCACACCATTCTTGGATTATGTTCTTGAGAGCAAAATTTGGGGCCAATAAGAGATGGGGAAGAGATTGCCCAGTTTTTGGACATGTTGTGTGGTTTGAATCCAGCCATTGTTGTATGCTTTCCCTCTCATATGTCTGCAAAAAAACATGGATGAAGATGACAACCCCAACATGCAATGACATGAAATGGTACAATATTTTCAATCATAGAAAACACGGTGGGGTTCAAATGACACTAGGCCTCGAGGTGGTTCATTCCCCCTAACTCCCTACAAACACTTCATCTCGATCCTCGTGGTCCCCATCGATTTGGGACACCATCCATGGTGCTAATTTTGATAATGGATGTTCCAAATTGATTTGGGAACTCGAGGTGGGAGTCGGGTTGGAATCAATCTACATGTTATCATGTACGATTACCTGTCCGGTCGAAATGATAACAGGATCGGACATAATCTCGAGGGTGATAGGACAAAGAAATTCATTAGGGATTGCAATGGAAAGACCCTTTTGGTGAGCTGAATCATGTTTAAGGGTAACAGAAGAACATTCATCCTCATCTTCCTCGTCTTCGTATTCTTCTGTTGGTAATCCCGCGAACCATTTGAATGTGTCGAGAAGATGAGCGATTTGTTGCATTCCCTCGGAGCTCACGTGGTGGTGATGATGATGATGTTGTTTCTTCTTCCTTTCCTTGAATAGTTTTTTAACCAATGCGGTTTCTCTCTTCAGTTCTTCGGGCTTCTGCAACCCGAGCTTGTGGGCTACTCTTTCAATGCTCGCATCGTCTTCGTTCTTCGTGGCCGTCGACGACTTCAACGCCATTAAATCCATCACTAGCTCCATGTCTTGTGTATTTGTCCTCCCCTTCACTCTTCTCAATTGCATGTGCATCATTTCCACCTCAATTGTTTTTATTCCCAAAAACACAATGCACAATGTAAGATTTAATTAGTAGCTTTGATATTTTTAAAGTTAATAAAATATTCAAAACATGAAAGCTAATCAAAGCCTATGTTAAATGTTGAATGGTGCTCCAAAAAATGTTGAATGAGTGGAAAATGGTGACAAAAAAAAAATTAGAAAAAGAAATGGCATTTTGAGAATTGATTAATGATTTTATTTTACATGATCTATCATATCATGCTCCCTCATAAACAACATATTCTTTTCCAATAGCATAATCAAGTCAATATTTATATCTGAAAATTACAAAATCAAGTCAGCTCTTGTTTATAAAGATGGTTTTTTGTAAACATATTCTTGTTTTTTTGTTTAAATAAATTGGTTTGAAAATAAATTCAACCAAACTTTATTAATTGGAATTCATTTTCGACAAGAAAATAATTTGTATAATAAAAAAAGAAAGTACACGATTACTTTAAGACACCCAAAAACATATTAATTAGTAAATATGCATATATTAAGGTACCAATATTAACCAACCTGTTGTTTCACTTGATTTGAAATCCCAAGTTGCTCATAAGGCATATCATCCAAAGCTACACTTATTTTTGCATAAACATCATGAAATTTCTCCATAATGGCTTCATTTTCTAATGCCTAAAGAACAACATTAATAAACCAAAAAACAAACACACCTCAGAAAATATAGTTGAGATTTTATATTTATTGCATGAAGTATATACATTCACACTCTGTCTTGTAAAAAATGTCATAGTTTTGATATGACAGGTTATAATTTGTCTACTCTCATGAAGTATTTACGTAAAGAAGATGGTAAGTTTTTATTGGAATCAAATCTGTTTTCGTTAAAAGGAATGTGACAATTTTTTAAAGCTAAGGTGAGGCAATTATTACGAGGTCAAGAGAGTATATATATATATATATAGACATGCATAATAGTACCAGGTAGATTTTGCTCCCGCCATGACATGTTTTAAGCAATTTTCTGGAAGCCTTTACTGCCTTCTTCATCTTCCTCAAACACCGAAAACTAGAATCTGAGTGCGGCCTTTCGGTCTGTCTCATCTCTTCCAACAATGGAAGCAAAAGATTTAACCTGCGAACGAGAGTTTCACATTCTTTTCTTTGTGTGATTCTATAATCTGCAATGGTCTTTGCACGCTCTATCAAACCTATGGTTTCTTGAACCAACTTTGTTTGGTTCTCTTGGGATTTTTGGTTTTGTGCATTCTCTTCCATTTTTATCACATTTTCTTTGAACTCTCAAGAGAAATTTGAAAACCAAAATTATTTTTTATCAGGGTTCAAAGAGTTTGATAAAAATGACAACTTTTGGTGGTGAAATTTGAAACCCAAAATTTGTTTATTTATCTCTTGCAAGTTGGGAACAAATAAGAAAAATGAAAGAAAAACTGTTAACCCAAATCATCTTTTTTTAAAAATGGTCTTCTTGATTTTCCTTAGAATTGAGATTCTAATGGAGCGGTTTTGTTGGAGGGGAGTGAAGGGAGAAGAAAAAAAGAAGGGCTAATTGTGTGGCTTCTAATTTGGGAGAATTTTGAAATTTAGTTGAAACTAACTAATTTTTGAAACTAACTAATGGTTTATCTTCAAATTATCATTTTCTTCTCTTTTGGTTTGAGGAAGTAGTTTGTTTTATTTAAATTCACTTATATTTGTGCACAAAATTTACCATTTCATACAAGTAGTTAAGTTTGTAAGACCGACACATGGGCAGCCCGGAGGATTAGCAAGGTGTCCACCCGCACAGGACCCCTAAATTTTTAGGTCTCATATTGTTAAATGTTCATTTTTTTTAATTACTTGTAATTTTAAAATTTAGTACCCCCTCCGATCATAAAAGCCTTTCCTATTTTGACCTTTTTTAGTCAAACAGTGACACATTTTGACCATGAATTGTGAGAAAAAATATATGAAGTATTTAATATAATATAAATTCAATATATTTGGCTTCATCTTAGGATATCAAATTTTTATATCATTTATTTATTTAAATTATGTTTAATTTATGGTTAAAGATTATCATTGTTTGACTAAAAAAGTCGAAACACAAATGCTTTTTAGGACCGGAGGGAGTATAAACATAATATAGTGTTAAATCTTAATTTTGAGAAGAACAACATCGATCTGCACAAACCCTCTGTTTGGATCACGAGAAATAGAAACAAAAGAAAAGAGAGGAAGAGAAAACACAATTTCCCTTTGCAAGGGAGAAAACTTTGTTCTACAAGAACAAAATAGAGAAGTCACCATTTGTCATGTTCCGAGAACAAAATCGGGTGGCGGATATGCTCGTTAGGAGGGACAATAACCAAGGGATAAAGCTATATGTACCCCAAATTTCGGTACCCCATTTTGTACCCTGCAGGCTGCAGGTTTGCACCAACATTTTGTGTTGGTGTAAAACTAATTTTTATTAATGCACCAACACTTTGTGTCCGTGTAAATTTTTGTTAACGCACCAATACTTGTGTCGGTGTAAACCATCAAAATGTTTGTGTATAACTGCGGGGTACAAATAGAGTACAATTTTTGGTGTAAGTGTAGCATGGTTCTTAAATAACCAAGTGATTGAGTGAAAGACTTTGAAACTAGTTATTTATGTGACAGCGCCATTTTTGTGCAATCGTCTATGAGAACGATTGGATTACAACTATATTAATTTTGCCAGTAGTCTCATCATGGATTCACGTATCAGGAAAACACTTTCATAATCCATTATATATCAACTATGGAGTACCACACAAAATAGAAAAAATAAATTGATAGAAAAGTAATTAAAAGTCTTAATTAATAAGAAGGGAGCACTAAAAACTCTTGGGAATTAATGTGAAATTTGAAAGGATATGAGTGTCATTTGGTAACCGCAAGATGAGCATAGACCAACAACACCCTATTTCATCCAAAAGACCAGTCTTCACTAGCCGTTGGATTTAAATTCAAACGCCTCGGACGATTGGGATCCAATTCTTTTGCTCTTTCCCCAATTTCATATTATTTTCTCACTCGATATCCCCAATACGGCAATACCATTCCCCCAGATAGATAGAGAGAACTGAAGATTAATTGACTGAGGTTTCCATCTTCTTTTCACCCCTCGAAGAAGAACATCCATTGAATTTTTTTAAAAAAAATCATTTGATTTTTCTGCGGGTACTTCTTGTTTTCTTTTGTTTTCTTTGTAAATATATTTAGGATTATGATTTCTTTCTTTTCTTGTTTTTCTTTGAGAATCAATCTCTTTCTGGTTAACAGTTTATGGGAAATTGTCCGAAAAGGGATTAGATTTATGCAGATTGCATTTTGTTTGATAAAAACTTTACTGTGTAAAGGGTTTTGACTTTTGAGTGATTATCTAGTGAAAAGGTCTGATCTTTGAACGATTTCTTTTGTGGGTATTCTTCATTTTATTTCCAAATTTTGTGTGCTGGGAAACTCGTTTTTTTAATTTGACTGCATTTTAATTTTTAGTGGCCTGGGGATTTTTTTATGATTCGTCCATTCATTTGATGCCTGCAGAATTTATTGTCAGAGATGGTTAAATCAAATGAGAATGATACAGGTATTTTTTTTTAAAAAAAAAATAAACATTTTCTTTTTATATTTGAATTCTTGCTACTGTATTTTTTTGGACATCAAACCCTAATATCAATATGATATGGGAAATGTATGATCAGGAGGAGGGTTGAACATGATGACAGAAATGGGGAGAAATCGAAGGGCGTTGAGAGCCATTGATGCGAATATCGTTGCAGCAAGACCATGTCCTTCTGCTATGCACAAGAGAAGTGCTTCCATTGAGTAATTCTTTTCTTCCAAACCCTTTTTGTCTTTTCTTCAAATTTTATCATTCATTTCTATTTGGTTCTGATTTGAGTTCTTCTGCACTTCCTGTTTGTAGTACAAAATCTGTGACTACTTCTAACAAGAATCCTAGGATTCTGGCTCGTCATCGCCCAATAACTAGGTTAGGAAATCACATTTTTTTCTGTTCCTTCGTTCTCTTTTGCCATTGTAAAAGATTCATTATTTATGTTTTTGCTTTTTAAAAAAAAATGAATCTATAGGAAATACTCTGCACAAATTACAAGCAAGCAGCAGCAGCCACTTAATGAGGTAAATGGTTTACTACTTAAAATAAGTTGGGAAAAAGTGAAAGAATTCAATCCTCCCTTCAAAACCCACAAACCAAACAAGCCATTGTTGTTCTTTCATACTTTATATGCAGGATGATGATGATGATGATGATGTTGAAATGGAATGTGTGAATGAGTACCCGATCGCGGACATAGATAGCCCCGATAAGAATGATGTGTTTGATGTCATTGAGTATGTTACAGACATACATGCTTTCTACAAGAGGATAGAGGTAAAAAAACACACACACACAATGATTTTTCTTAAATCTTCAACACTTATCAGAACCCAGCACATTGTTTTTCTGGGATTTTCTAAAAACATATTGTTGGATGGAAAGTAGTTTAGTTTTTAACGGAATCCCAGAAAATGCGATGGAAAACAAAATATGTCTTGCATTTTTAGTTTTTCTTTTTTTAAAAAACATATGTTTAGAGTTCTTGGTCTTTTATATGATAGAGAAACAAATATATAAAAAGGGTATGAATTAAATTACATGGTTTAGATATGTGTTTGTTAAAGTGATTCCCACTATTCTCTTTGTGTTTCTTTATATATATTAGAGTTTGAGCTGTGTTCCACCAGACTATATGGACTTGCAGCCTGACATTAATGAAAGAATGAGGAGTATTCTCATTGACTGGCTGATTGAGGTAAATGCCAACAACACATTAGGGCAGTTTCCCTTTGATTTTACCCTCTACTACCGTTACGAAGAAGAAATACAGTCACAATTCCAAAGAAAAATTTGAAAGGAAAACAACATATACACGTTCTTTCACAGCGCGTCGAAAAATATGATGTGGAAAATGTTTGGTAGGTACATTACAAGTTTGAACTAATGGAGGAGACGTTGTACCTGACGGTGAACCTCATAGATAGGTTCTTAGCAGTCCAACCGGTTGCGAGGAAGAAGCTTCAGCTGGTTGGTGTCACAGCAATGCTTCTGGCCTGCAAGTATGAAGAAGTCTCTGTCCCTTTGGTCCAGGACTTCATCTCCATCACAGACAAAGCTTATTCCAGAAATGAAGTCCTTCAAATGGTATTTTTTTATATAACTAATTAATGCTTCTTTGTATTTCCAACTGTTTGATCTTATTTTTTTTAGTTTGGTTTTGGGCATTTTCAGGAGAGGGTGATGATCAATACGTTGGAGTTCAACATGTCGGTTCCGACACCGTATGTGTTCGTGAGACGGTTCCTTAAAGCCGCGCGATCTGATAAGAAGGTTGGTCACTTAATCACTTGTTATGATTTCTTTTTTGGCTAATCACAAGTAAATCCTACCTAGGAGTTTTGTTTAGTTACCAAATGATCATCAAGGTTTCTTAAGATTGTTACAAGTGCCATCTTTGACACCAAGCCATTTTAGGGTCCTATCCCACAAACCCTACCCTTTTGCCCCTGTCACATACCCCCAGCCCCCTTAGCATTTTGCCGAAATGACGCATTTCGGGGAAATGTTAAGGGCGAGAGTGAGGGGCAATGCGATGGGTTGGGAGTGTAGGACCAAGTCTCGGACTCAGTATAGCTCATGTAGAACTTTGGTTATGTTCTCTTCAATTTATTTTTTTTACTTATTTTTATTGAGATTGGACCACGAGAAACAGTTTAAAATTTAATAAAACAATATCAAAATCAATCAAATTAGATGAAGAAAACAGCTTCTACAATGTCATATTATGACATAATATCTCTGATTATTTGTCTAGTTTTTGACCTTTTGTAGTCAACTATTTTTAATGTTTGACCTATAATTATATAAAAAATATATGGTATATTAACTAAATGAAATAATATTTTGAAAATGATTTATAACATAAATCTAAAAAAAATTATTCATATATCAAGGACTTGTTTGTATTGGTAATAAATCCTTGAGTTATTAGATCAGCATTACTGCTTGACAACCAAACAGAGCCTAAACAAACTTCTTGTGCTGAAATATATGCATACAGTTGGAATGGACGTCTTTGTTCGTGATTGATCTCTGCCTGGTTGACTATCAAATGTTGAGGTTCCCGCCGTCGCAGCTGGCGGCGGCGGCGGTGTTCACCGCCCAATGCACCCTGACCGGCGGCGGTGGAGGAGGCTGCAGCCTGGACCAGTGGAGCAGAACGTGCGAGACCCACCACAGCAAAGAACAGCTCTTGGAGTGCTCAAAACTGATGGCTTCTCTCCACCGGAAAGCAGCTAGCGGCGGGCGGCTCACGGCGGTGCTCCGCAAGTACAGTGCCGCTAAATTCGGGTGCGTGGCCAAGTCCGCCGAACCCGCCGTGTTTCTTTCAGACGGTTAGAGTGGTTTTGGTCTGGTCTCGGCGGGGGTTCAATTCTTTGTTGACCAACCAAACAATCAAACAAGTTTCCATATATTGCATGTCATTATTTTTTGTAGTTATTGGTGGTACAAAATAATTGTAAGAAAATAATATTGTGGGCATAAATAATACTCTGGGTACTAGTTATCTTTCATAAATGGGTAAATAGTGATTGAACTTAACAAAAACAAATGAAGCATGCAAAACACTCGCATACTATGCCAAAATGTAAAACTTGTAACAAAATATGAATCCAGAATAAATTTATTTGAAAAAAGTCGGAAAGAGTCTTCCTCCATCTCTTATATCACAACACATTAACCCATAATAAAATTATTTGAAAAAATGAAATAATTGTATTTTTCAACATCACTATGAGAGACATGAAGAAATTGTTGTGATAGGAAAAAAAATAGAAGACATTGTACTACGATTCAAGCCAATGACAGATTGATGATGACGAAAGACATGGAGCGATAGTAAGGCATGGGGTTCGGGGGCATCACCCCCAAATATATATTTTTTAAGTTACTTTAAAACTTTGATGCAAAAAAATAAATTTTATGTCACGCAGATTTAAAGCAAGTAAAAAAAATAATTTCAAAAATAGAAAAATATAATACAGAATAAATTACGTAGTACGAGGTATTTTTAATGTCACTAGAGTATCACAGATGCTTTACCTGTATATTCTAATTAAATAATGTTACTTTTTGGAATTATATTTTTTACCAGGGGCAAAAAAGTATATTACACTAGGGCAACACTTTTAATTTTACATGATTCTTTTTTATTTTACACTTTGTATATAAACACATTGACAAGGAGCAGCTGCCCTGGTCGGCGCAAGGTAGATCACCCATAGTTTTAAAAACCAGACTGGACCGGCCGGTTCGGACCGAGAACCGGGAGCCAAATCGGTCCGGTCCAGCTCCAAAGACCGGATGTGCAGCGAACCGGCTCGAACCGGCCGAAACCGGTAAGAACCGGCCGGTTTGACCGGTGACCAGTTTTTTTTTTTTTTTTTTTTTTTGCACGAATTCCTCAAAAATTGTTACTATTGGGGATTCAAACCACCAACCTATTGTTCTATTCTTAGGCCATCTCCCATCCATGCTACAATTGCTTTTGATGTATAAAGGCATTATTAGTTATATATTACATTCTTACAAATATACAAGTATACATTACTAATTATATATTACATTCCTAAAATATTGATGCAATTGAGATTTCTAATATGAACTTCATATCATAAAACTATTAACTCATTTAAATATTTTAAAAATATTGTGTAAATTATAAAACAAAAAATATCACCTCCTATTTTATAATTTTTATTTGTTTAAATATCCATTTGTTTCGATTTAATGCTACTACTCAAATAATTAAATTGCTTATAAATTTATTAATACATCATAAATTCTTTATTTATAGATAAAAAAATGTATTATTATTTCGATCAATAAATATTGTTTTTCATGTGTGTGTAAATATTATATATATATATATATATATATATATATATATATATATATATATATATATATATTGAATTTTCAAATATGCGTGAACCACTGGTTCGACCACTTGAACCACTGGTCCGACCAGTGAACCAGTACCTTGACCGGTTCGGTCCCCAGTCCGGTTCTGAAAACTATGAGATCACCTAATGTTTCAAGTTTACACATTACAAACAAAATGAGATAACTGCATAGGACTCCCGGTAAGAGCATCTCCAACCCATAGTGGAAAAAGTGATAGTGTAAAATTTATTTTACACTATCAAAAGTGTTTTACACATTCAATTTTTCATACTCACTCCAACCATATCTTCTATATAATATATTTTTATAATATTTTGTTATTTTAATTTATTTATTTATAATAAATATATTTAATTTTTGGTTTAATTATAATCACATTTATGATGTGCATAATCTAACCAATCTATTATTAATATTTTTATTATTATTTAAAACTAAATATTGAAATATTTGTTTTAGCATTTGGTTTGCACCATCTTGTATATATACAAGTTGGAAATTGCTTTTTCGACTATAGTGTTTTTTAACATTTGATTTACACTATCCATTGGAGTATTAAAAAATGAATAGTATATTGCATATAGTGTAAATTTAACCATATACACTATGGATTGGAGATGCTTTAATGCCTCAAAAGTGCATAACACCCCTGAGGTCTAAAAAGTAACTTGATAGCCCTTCTAGTAAAAACCTTCTTGCATAAAGGCCCCCTCCATTATATTTCATGTCAATTTTAACCTAGGTGGAGGCTCACACGAACAAAATGCATAAAATCAGATCAAATGCATTCCGATTTGATTGTGAGGTTGACTGAATTTATTTCAATTTAATTTATTAGACTATAGGTATAGAATTAAAAATTATATATCCAAAAACTACATAAATATAAAGATCTACTTGCGTAAAAAGAGATTTTCGTAAAACATTTGTAATTCATCACATCTTTCGGAAGACGACAATATTTTAGTAACAAAAAGAGCATTATGATAATAATAATAACAATAATAATAATAATAATAATAATATAGTGTAAGTATTATTTAACCCACTGGAGCTACAATTTATTAGAAAAAGTTGTTGAGAATTTCTTAAAAATTTCCGCTATCATTCAAGGAATTGGAAATAGAAAGGATCTATAATATGATTTTAAAAAATGTATCGAGAGATGAGAAGAATTTAAATATGAAAGAGGTAGAGAAAAAAAATAAATTAAAGAAGGATGAGAGGTTTTTAAATAATGAATTGAAAAAAAATTAATTCAACTAGCTGTTGCAACGCCTAGTTGGGGGAGGGAGTGAAAGCTGTGTGATGACCGTGATTAGGGATGACAACAATTCAACCTGAACCCGATCTTAACCCACATCTAAACTCGAACTGAGTAAAATAATTTAATGCCGACTTGAAAATCTTTACTTAAACCTGACATCGTATCAGGTTGGGTGTGAGTATATTATTTTACCCAAACCAGAACCGACCCGAATATTTTATAATCTAAAACCTTATCTACAGATTTAATGACTACTCTGTATAATTTCTTTTTTTCGATTTTTTGCATGACTCTTCCTTCCTTGCATTCTTCCTTCCTCACATATTTGGTGTGTCGACTGTCTTATTCCTAATTCTAGCCACACATTTGTCTTGACAAAGTGCTAGTATACCATGTATGCTTTTATAATTTTTTTTATATTTCCTCAATAAAAATGAGACACAAAAGAATTTAGATTTACTAGTGCATCACCCGCGCGATGCACGGGAAGAAAAACTTATCCTAATAGCAAAAAAACATGTAAAATGTTAAAGTTGGAAATTATTTTATAAATAGTATATATGTCCGCCTTCCATTTATATATCTTAATATTCATTTAATTTTAAATAGATATACAAACATAAAAGAATGAGTTTTAGAGTGTACTATATTCAATACATAATATGAAAATGAAGAACAATCAACTTTGTTTATTAACATCAATCATACATAAGTTGGTGGTCCTCATCTGTTATTCATGGAATGGTCAACGTTTCCAGTCATTGACGTACAACAAAACATATATATTATTGTACGCACCGACATTTTTCTTTAAATGACTAATCTTTGCATTGTCTCCAAAAAATAAATCTTGTAACATTTCAGGAGGTGTCAATACAAATGATAATGTCACTTTACCATTTTTACAGCACAAATGGTAACTCCTAAATCTCTCTTCGTACCAAAACATAGCTCCACAATGTTCGCATTGATAGAATGAATCATCATTGTCACAACATTCTGAAACTTAGAAAATATAAACAATAATATTTTAAGACCTAGATTAAGATAAACATATGAACACTGCTCTATATATAAAGCAAATGAGAAGTGAGACCATCACCATAATTTTTTTTTGAGTAAATTCCTTAATTGGTACTTTATAACAGGGGGGTTTCCATATTTAGTCCTCGATTATTAAACATTACCCTCGTAGTCCTTTTTTTAAAGGAGCCTTTCCACAAATGGTCCTTTATTTATCTTCTGCATGTGGGTGTTAATTTAAAGTCTAAAAGTATAATTTGACATCAACATTATGTCTAGTGACGTGTTCTAATATAGGTTAAGTGAATAACACAAAAATAATAACTATTATTGTGGGCTAGGATTCTGACGAAAGACCACATTTGTAGATTATGGTTGTAGTAAAAAGCGAATGTTACAAATGATGCAAACGAAACAACCTTTGGAATTATGTATGACAAAAATAATATATTATCATTGTGAAATTATATTGTAAGCCCTCAAATTAACACCAACATGATAGAAGATCAAAAAAAAGACTATTTGTGGAAAGATAACCATAAAAAAAGGACCACTGAAGTAATACTTGATAATAGAGGTCTAAATAGGGAAACCCTCCTGTTATATAGGATCAATTATGGAATTTACTCATTTTTTTCTTTACAAATTTTTATGTGTAAAATCTCTTATATACCCATAAAAGCTTCGAGCCAGCCCAATTGCCCATCAGTCCGCACAGCCACACGTTTTCACTTCCACTTGAAATTGCGACTTGAAAATAATGGGTTTGTACATAAAGAGATGTTCACATGAAGCTTGTGACGGACATGACTATGAATATGTATCAGATTTGTGGCCTGTGTGTTTTTGCATATTTACCAAGTAGTACATTATTAAATAGGTGAAATTGGATTGAAATTAACCTTGTTCAAATTGGAATGATTTTTTCATTCAGCTTTTATGTACTCCGTATATAGTAGATGCACTCGGCACTCCTAATTTATTGCACAACTCTACCACCAATTGTGAAAAAATCATAAAAATACATTACAAATAACACTAATTTTGTTATGAGTTTTACACATATGCTTTACTTTTATACCATAACAAAAAACATAAATTAGTTTATTTTAAAAGGAAAAATTTAATGATCTAATTTAATATTAAAATATGTTTCATTCAAGAAATATAATGATAAAAATAGTTCATTCAATCTAGAAGTGTTTGAAAGAAAAATAAAAGACAAGATATAATGCTATAATTATATACCCCCTTCATCCCAATATATCTCATATTTGCTTTTTCAATAGTAACGGGAATTTTTGTTTATTTGTACGTTTTCATTGATTATTTGATAAAATAAAATATTCTTGACACTTTTTATTTCGAAGAATTCTTCATGTAGTTTTTAAATATGTAAGTTTTATTTTTTTTTTATTTTTATACCAATATTTAAATAAAAAATTGAAAAAATTTGATATTTTACCTCGTTTTTTAAAATGTGGTAAACAATTAGGTACAAAGGATATAATATTGATGTCATTGGATAAAGGTAGTAAAGATATTGACGCATACTGACTCACATACAAACAATTATGAATCGAATAAGGATTTAGGTCCAAACCCGAAAATGATTTAGATCCGAATCGATTGGACTTAATAACCCTATTGGATCTAAAAAACCTAAATACGTAAACTCTACTTTTTAAGTTCCGTAATACATTTTGATGCTTTACTTGAATAGATATTTTAATTTATTTAATTATAAAAGTTTTCGTTAAGAATTTTTTTAAAAAAAGTTTAAAAAGAAGTTTTACCGTAGTTTTTATTATTCTACATAAAAGTAGTCCATGTTGTGTATCTATTTTTAGATTGTAAATTTTTTGCTCTATTTGTACGATACAAAATAAAAAGCCAAAAATATTTTTTTTTGAAAGACAAACCATCAAAATCTAAAATCTATTTAATTGATCAAAATAATTTTAAAAAATAGATTTTTATTCGGTCAGGACCAGTTTGGTCATAAATATATTTCGGTCTAGTCCGGTCCAAACCCGAATAGATTTAGGTTCGATCTTTGGTTAGTGACTTTAATTAATTCGGTCTTTGGTTCGGTCCAGGTCGGTCTGATCTTGAACCGATGAACACCCCAGATGCTAGTACACAAATTAATACTCCTTGCATTGAATTTTAAAGTTCACACTTTCTTTTTCGATCCGTCTACAAATAATTTTTGTTTCCTTTTTTAATAAATTTTATTTGTTAAAATGAATTAAGCTAAATAGTTCTAAGTTTTCTACTTCCCCCGTCCCCAATTTGATTACAATTGTTTTCTCTATTTTCTCGATAATTTTTGTTTGTTTACAAAATTTAATTAAGTATTTGATAAAATAAAACATTTGTGTCACATCTTATTTTATAGAACTTTTGACGTAGTTTTTTACTAATATGTACTCCGTAATTTTTATTTCTTATAAATATACCGATTTGTAAATAAAATGATTTCAAAAGTGTAATTTTTAAATCAAATTCGTAATCAAATTTTCCTCCTTCGCCTTCCTCTTCCCTCCTTGCTGCCGCCCCACTTTCTCTTACCATTTTTTTTCTTTTGCCCTTTCTTCTTCTTCTCTCTAGAATTGGGGCAGGATAGATACTGGTGGGGAAGGGGGTTGCCCTGCTAAATTTCAATAATAATAATAGCCATCAATTTTGTTTTTTTTACACAATTGTCATTCCATCTGATCAATGGTCTAGATTTGTGCAGAGTATTTAGATAGAAATTGGACCCTTAGATCTTACTTTTTGGAGGCAAAATTGGAACCTGATTTCTCATCACCTTTTATATATATAGTAGATTTTTCCAGAATTCTTGTGGTACATCGAATTAGTTATTAGTTAAATTACGAGTTCGGGTTTCGAGTTTAAATAAGAGGTTTGAGTCGGGTCGAGTTTTTGGTTTACAAATCAGATTTTGGGTCAAGTTCGGGTTTAAAAGTCGGGTCGAATTCGAGTATGGCACTATCCGACCCGAACCCAATTCGTTGTCATTGCTAACCGTGATGGGCATCCCTACCGTCACGGTCACCATGTGGCTATCACGCGCCACCCACACCGACTGATCTTAGGAAGTTGTGTTTTTTTAACACCATTTTTTTATGTTTTCACCATAAAAAATATGGGTTAAGATAGAATTAAAATAATGCCAAATTCTAGGATTACTTACATTATGTTTAGGGTTATTACCCATAAATCTAATTGAAAATTTTTCAATTATCCTTAAAAAAGATTTTATTTTACTAACAAAAAATTGTATTTCATGAAAAAACAAAAATTTAAATTTCAAGAAATTTTGATCATTCCTTTCTCCCAAACGCCGCTTAACCATAGAATTGGGGATTCCATCCATTTCTCTATCCTGCGTTTTCAGAACACTGAGAAGCATAAAAATGGCTACTCCCACCAATTCTCTAATTTCCCCCCAATTCCTATCCGGTGGAACCCTAATTTTAATCGCGCCCCGTATCCCCAAATCCTTTCGCTCCGATCGGAAACTTCCATTCCCAAAATCAGCAGCTCTTAGCAAGAGCTCAAATTCCAAGGCCGCTTTCACAGCTGCCGCAGCACTCGTCTTCTGCTCCGCCACTCCTCAAGCTTATGCCGTCGATGCTCCAGCTCCGGCAGCTCCGCCCGCACCGGTTCAGGCCGAATTGCCCAAACCCAGCCCGTCTACTCCCTCCCCCTTCTCCCAAAATATTGTTTTGAATGCGCCGGACCCGCTGACCCGACCCGCTTCCGACCTCCCTGAGGGATCCCAGTGGCGTTACAGCGAGTTCTTGAATGCGGTGAAGAAGGGGAAGGTCGAGAGGGTTCGGTTCAGCAAAGACGGGAGCTTTTTGCAGCTCACGGCGGTTGATGGCCGGAGAGCTGCGGTGGTTGTTCCCAACGACCCGGATTTGATCGACATACTGGCTATGAACGGGGTGGATATCTCCGTCTCCGAAGGAGAATCTGGGAACGGCCTGTTCGGGTTCATTGGGAATTTAATCTTCCCGGCTCTAGCCTTGGGCGGGCTTTTCCTGCTTTTCCGGCGTGCCCAGGGCGGTCCCGGCGGACCAGGAGGACTAGGAGGCCCAATGGATTTCGGCCGGTCGAAATCCAAGTTCCAAGAAGTGCCGGAAACAGGAGTCACATTCGCGGACGTGGCTGGAGCAGATCAAGCCAAACTAGAATTACAAGAAGTGGTTGATTTCTTGAAGAACCCAGACAAGTACACCGCCTTAGGGGCAAAAATACCCAAGGGGTGTCTCTTGGTGGGCCCGCCCGGGACCGGGAAGACCCTATTGGCCAGAGCCGTGGCCGGCGAGGCCGGCGTGCCGTTCTTCTCCTGTGCGGCCTCGGAGTTCGTCGAGCTATTTGTTGGGGTGGGAGCTTCTAGAGTGAGAGATTTGTTTGAGAAGGCAAAGTCCAAAGCCCCTTGCATTGTGTTCATAGATGAGATTGATGCGGTTGGGAGGCAGAGGGGGGCTGGGCTTGGCGGGGGGAACGACGAACGAGAGCAGACTATCAATCAGCTCTTGACGGAAATGGACGGGTTTTCGGGCAATTCGGGTGTCATAGTTCTGGCTGCTACAAACCGACCGGACGTTCTTGATTCTGCATTGTTGAGGCCAGGGAGGTTTGATAGGCAAGTGACTGTGGATAGGCCGGATGTTGCAGGCAGAGTAAAGATTCTTCAGGTTAGTAAACGAACTCGTTCTCGAGGATTATTTTGTTTTATTACGAATTTATTTGTTGTGATTTGTTATGTCAATTTAAGTGAAGAATGGATTTTCTTGTGACCATGTGATGAACTTAGATACGGAGTATAACAAACAACACACAAACTTCACAAAAAGGGGAGGATGTGTGTACGCAGACCTTACCCCCACTCAGAAGTAGAAAGATTGTTTCCAAGAGACCCCCAATCAGATGTGATGAACTTAGATAACGATTTGAATTTTAGGTTACCTGCTTACCAACCAAACATTGCCTCATTGGATTGGCTATGCAGATATATGGAGTTTTGAAGTTATGTACACTGCTACTATTGGCCAAACAAGTGTTTGGAGTTTTGAAGCTTTTTTCGTTAAAAATAAAATCCCTTTTTATTGGTTAGGTCACCTACATTTTGTCGGGCTACACCTAGGGATTTTAGAAGTTATTACGCTTGTTGTAAGAGTATTTTTATACTCTGTGTTAAGCTTTTGGTCTCAAAGCGCTAACAGGTTATGCTTACTTGGGCTCCGGAATTTTTTCCTTTTCATTCTTGGTGCATTACTATGGACTGCTTGTCGCTTTTGATCCTTTCAAGTTTCAACCACTTATCCGGCAAGTTTCCTCAGTTTTCTTGCCGATTTTTACGGAATGAGTGGCCGAAAGGAACACAAAATGACAAGAAATCCATAGAAATGCACCAAAACTTTCACCAGGACAAAAAATAATTGGAATAACCTAATAATTGCAAGATCAAAAGTGAAATAGTTTCTTATCATGTTACCCTTACATTGACGAGTAAGGTAACTTTACAATGCAAAAAATAAGATGTAGCATTAATATCATGGATGTCGAGAATGAGGTTACTTATGGTGTTCTTCACCATATGTCTGAGGATATGGCCTTCAGATTGGAGCCTCTGGAGAGCTAGGATTATATTGGTTGAGTAGACCTTAGCAATGTGCTTACTTTTGTGGGTTCTACACAGTATGTTGTTGTTGTTGTTGTTGTTATTGTATATGTCCATGGCTACGAAGGAACGTGATTTGTTTATTCCTTTGTCAACAACTTTAGGTGCACTCCCGAGGAAAAGCCCTTGCGAAGGACGTGGACCTAGAGAAGATATCAAGGAGAACGCCGGGCTTCACCGGTGCTGATTTGCAAAACCTGATGAACGAGGCGGCTATTCTCGCAGCTCGGCGCGACCTCAAGGAAATCAGCAAAGACGAGATCTCTGATGCTCTTGAGAGGATAATCGCCGGCCCCGAGAAGAAAAATGCTGTTGTCTCCGAAGAGAAAAAGAAGCTGGTTGCTTACCACGGTAAATTGTTGTTGCTAGTTACAGCTCTCTCCTACCTCTATTGAGATATGGTCAAATCATCAAATAACCCTTCATATTTCTGAAAATCACAAATACACCCCTACTCAAAAAATATATGACTACTCTTAACATTTTTCCCAAATAGATTTTTCTTTAAAAAAACCCTTACACCATTTTAAGCAATTTCCTCACGCGTATACTTAAAATTGAATGTAGAGGCGGGCCATGCTCTAGTAGGAGCACTTATGCCAGAGTATGATCCGGTTGCCAAGATATCTATCATTCCTCGTGGCCAAGCCGGGGGACTCACCTTCTTCGCGCCAAGTGAAGAGAGACTTGAGTCCGGGCTCTATAGTAGAAGCTACTTGGAGAATCAAATGGCTGTTGCTCTTGGTGGAAGGTATGTTGTACAAAGTTCAAATCTTTCTTGGTCTTCATCTTTGGAGTTCATTGGGAAATACTCCGTATATGATTCTTTTACTAGGATGGATTCGAAAATAAGGTTCTTTTTTACCTCCCCTCTAGCCATGATTAACTTCACATTTTGCCCTTAGGGTCGCGGAGGAGGTCATCTTTGGGGTAGATAATGTGACTACCGGGGCATCAAATGACTTCATGCAAGTCTCCCGCGTCGCCAGGCAAATGGTGGAGAAGTTTGGGTTCAGTAAAAAGATTGGACAGGTTGCCATTGGCGGATCCGGAGGGAACCCTTTCTTAGGGCAACAGGTAACAAACTAACAACTACTCTCCCGGTATCATAAACAAAAACCGAAAGTTCCATTGAAACCTAACACAAACCACAACAACAACAACAACAACAACAGACCTAGTAGAATCCCACAAAAGCAAAGGTCTGCGGAGGGTGTGTGTCCGCAGACCATACCCCCTACCCCCCACCCCTCCCTTTGATCATGAAGTGGGTGGGTTGTTTTCAAGAGATCCCGACTCAGAAACAAAAGTACACAAACCTAACAGAAACCATTTTTTTTAAAAAAATATTTTAAGAAATGACTATTTTCTCCCTCGCATCTGTGTTGCACACGATACGTGGTGATGGATTGTGTGGGAAAGTGCAGATGTCGTCGCAGAAAGACTACTCGATGGCAACGGCGGACATAGTGGACGGGGAGGTGAGGGAGTTGGTGGAGAGGGCGTATTCGAGGGCGAAACACATACTCACAACCCACATTGACATACTCCACAGGCTTGCCCAGCTCTTGATTGAGAAAGAAAGTGTGGATGGTGAGGAGTTCATGAGCCTCTTCATTGATGGCAAGGCTGAGCTCTATGTTGCTTAGTCTCATTTACTACAACATCTTTTCTTCTTCTTCTTCTTCTTCCTCTTTCACTATACACAGTACAATACTCACTACTCATATTCCTGAATCTTGTGTGTATATATCTTGTGTATACTCTTCCAACTTTACCCTTTTGGGTGTCCTATAAACACTTCTTACTTTTATTTCCTTTTTTAGTAATGAATATGTGTGAATTGTGTAAGATTTCTCTCATCCTAATAGATTTTAATCATACAGTTAAATTTTGTGAAAGTCACGTGTGTAAAATTTTTTGGGACAGATAGAGTAAAAGGTTGAATTCTCTTTAGTGCCTAGATTTAATTTGCCCATTTTATTAAAATACTTCAAAATTGAGAATTAAGATAAATGACAAAACAGGTTAATGTGTTTGTTATTATTTCGAGAAATATTCAATATAAAAATTATGATAAGATGACAAAACTGATTAATGTAATTGTTTGTGATATTTAATGTGTTCCTTTGTTACATACTCTCAACGTCCAAGAATTATCTTTTCATTTATTATTAACATGTTTAATTTTTTTTATTTTGTTGGTCTATTTTTATTGTCCATTTGTTAACATAATACTTTTCTCTGTCTCTAAAAGATTGTCATAGTATAACTTTTTGGTCAAACTCTGTCAACCTTTGACCAATAATTAAATATAGTTTAAAATAATTAAATATTATAAAAACTTGATATTTCAAAATTATATTTTAAAATAAACTTAACTTTACTATATTTACATTATAACTAAATATACTTTTTTCATAATTCGCGATCAAAGAATACTATAGTTTAATTTTTAAGATTTTTTTACGTACTCCATAGTTTTAGATCTGTAATTTTTAATTTTTAATTTCAGCCCATTTTTCATATAAAATAATTTATAAAAAAACAATCATATATCATACTAAGAAATATTTTCTTGACTGCAAATATAGTAAACCGAGCTACTGATTCAACAAGTCCTAAAAAAGGAAAAAAAAATGGACAACTAAACTCAGAAAATGGAGAAAGGCAATCATATATTAAATGTGGATAAGATACACTAAAATTGAGTATTTACTCTAATTACAAATGTACAAATCCAGATATATTATGTAGCAATTGCTCTCACACAATTTGAGGGTGAACAATAATTTAACAAAGAAACATTTTTTCTGCAACAGGCTATATATTGTACATTTTCATAGTTCTTATGCAAATCACACACGTGAACCAAATGATACAACAAGAAATTAGTGTTTCTCTTTCCTTTTCTTTTTCTTCTTTCAAGATACTCCCCATGTTCGAAAACAAACGTGACAGGTTGACTTTTTTGGTCAAATTTTATCAAATTTGACTGTTAATTATTCAACGTCGTTTGAATGCAAAAGTCAACATGTCACTTTTATTTTGAGACAGAGAGAGAGGAACGAAGAGCTGAAGGAACGAATGAACGAATATCAAAGAGGAGTGTCAAGACCTTGCGCCTTTCTGGCGCTTCTCTTCTAAAGTGGAAGCCTCGTTCAACATATCGGCTGCATCTTTGTGCATGTCAAGCTTTGAGAGAGCGACCGCTTGCATATAGAACGCGGTTGACCAGTCCGGGTACACACACTGCGCTTGCATTGCGTCACGTAGCGCCGCATCTGCCTGATCACACATTACATAACACAAACTTCTCCGCGCATAAACTGTTGGGGAAACCATTGTGCCCACATCTATGAACTGCATTCCATGAACGAATCGCAAATGAAATGAAGCCTTTAGACATCAAAACAACCCCCCCCCACCCCCCGCCCACCCCACCATTTGTGAGGTCAGACTTCACCAAACACCCACAGAAGGGACCCTAACTTTTTGGAACTCTTTTATGGGACAAGAGGAAGTTCTTAAACCAAACTCTATTTGGGAAAAAAGGGGTAGTAAGAGGTTAATGCATTGGAAAATGTTCTTTTTACGCCATCCTTAATTACACCGTGCCCAAACTTTCAAACTGCAGAGACAAAATTCGTCTATTTACAAACAATGTGTAAGCAGAGAGATCTTTGTCTGTGTGTAGTTCAAAATTTGGAATGCGGTGTAAATGTGTTGGACATGTAGCTTTTCTATAATGCCTATTGCATTTAAAAGAGATCTAAGAAAATGCATGTTTTGTTCCACTTTCCTTTTAAGACAAAATTGTGTGCTCCATATAATTTCTCTTTTCTCTACACAAATCAAAACAACAAACCAGTAGAAATCCCATGAAAGTAGGGTACCCCAAGTCCCCAACTTGAAAGTAGAGAGGCTGTTTCCAAGAGACTTCAGGCTCGAGCAACAATCACACCCACACAATTTCTACTTTATTAGAAAATCGTGTCAATCTCATACAAGGAGATGATCATGGGACGTACGGAGAGAGTACCTGAGAGTAACAATCTATGGCGGTTTTGAAGTCCTTGTCCCGGAATGCAAAGTCACCTCGCTTCCTTGCCTCCAACATGTCCCTCATTTGTTGAGTCCACTCTTGGAAAGATAACTGCAACATTGACAAACCATGTAACAGAAATGTACACGGGAAGATGGGCGCATTCTAAACACATCTTCGGTGAGGAAAAATTACCTCATTAGTCCCTTCATCATCTTTGTAGTGAGCCGTCACCAGAATTTGGTGAATTGCAGTAAGATCCATTCTTGAACAAGCATCCACCATGGGAGACACTGGGTGTTGAGGAGTTGGTGGAGCTTCTTCTTGCTTTGGAATTCCAAGCATCACGTGAGATAGGACCTGTTAAAATAGGTATATGTAGTAAATACTCATAGTTAAACTTCAGATAGGAGTGCAAAACAGGGTTTTGTTCTTTACTCTCATGGTTGGAAAATTTTGTAGAGGAATGGAAAAGTGGTATTTATTTTACTAATTTACTCCTACAATAGTTGGTTGGAAGGCATGTGAAAGTGAGAAATCATAAACTAGGCAATACGGAATGTTTATTTTCTGATTCAACAACTAATTACAATCGATAACAGCAAACCGTAAAATCCCAACACTAATTACTATCGATATATTATTACTGGGTAAAACCTAATTTCACTCCCCTCCCGTTCAAGACACCCAAACCAAACAAGGCTGCAGTTGTTGGACGGGAAGAGAAAAAAAAGTAAATATGTCTATATTGATGGTGAATTTAGACTAGTTTCGCTACAGCCTTACATAAATAAAAATGCACGTGTGTGTTTCAAATAAGCTTTCGTCTAAAACTATTACTCCCTTCGTCCTTGCAGGCTAGGATGCTTGGCTGATGGTATTTTTAATTCAAAAAATAAAATGAGTAATGAAAAACAAGAGGTGACATCAAAAGTTCTACAAAAAAGGAGGTGACAAGCCCCTATTATTTATCAAATGAGTAATGAAAAAAGACAAAAAGAAGTGGTCAAAATTTGACTTTGTAAATAGGATTTTTTTGGGGGGGGGGGGGCTTAGGGAGTTTATTTGGCATCATGTTGGGTAAAAAAGAAGCTTTTACCATTGCAAACACTATCCCAAGAGGTAGCAGTTAGTTTCTTTGTCCAAGAATGCCAAAAACTGAGTGATTTGTGAGAAAGAATGGTATGGGGAAAGCAATTGTATGTACACACCTCAACTTTACTCTGCAAAGGAGCAAGCGTAGCAACAATATCTTTAGTGTTTGGCCGCTCTCTAGGTTCATACTGGAGGCATCGCGAAGCCAAATCAAACACCACAGTTGCCTCTCCTAAATTGAAAATACCCTCCAAGTGTGAATCCATCAGCATGTCTATATTTTTACCGCGAATCATATCAAGTGCCTAACAAACATATTATGAAAATGTTGTTGCAGTTATGTTTGACATTTGACACAGTATCAAAGCATTAAACAAATTCCAATCAAATCACAGCATAATAAATTGAAGACTTTTTCAACTGGTAATAGGAATCAAGCATTGTGTGAACTTGTCCTCATTTCTATTATCCTATGTGTTTGCTTTAGTAGAACGTTATGTTCAATTTGAACTCCAACATCTTTTTTTTTTAAGAATTGGAGCATATTTAATTGAATTGGATGTTTGTCTCAAATAAAGTTCTGATTTGCTAAATTCAGTACCACTCAAATAGCTTTAAGGTTCCTCATCTAGGGAGTGGTTTAGCAAATTTGGGGGATTTACCAATTTTCAATGGATTTAATTTCGGAGTTGGGATAATATGGGTTGTTTTTGTTGTTGTTGGGTGGGTGGAGTGGATTTAATCAAACCCTTTAATTACAGCGATATACTTAGTAATGTCTAATGCATTATTTTGAAATCATCTTCACACAAGGTGATGCACTGATACATTATATGTAATTCGTGAATGGGGAGGCGACAAACAACCCCCACCCACCCACCTCAATGACCCCACCAATACTACACATCGTCTGAAAATTTGAGGTGAGAAGTGCCCCGCACGACATTTTAGTGAAACGCTAACCAAATGGTTAACTTTTGAACTTGAAGCAAATAAGGCCCTTACATGACTAGGTGGAATGTGCTTTCCACTGAGAAGGTCCAAGAGGACAGTCCCAAAGCTGAAAACAACACTTTCTGGTGTCACCCTCCCTGCAATAGAAAATTGTAAATGGTACTATTCATTTCTTTAACATATTATGTGGAGAATCACAACAGTAACAGAATTCGAGGAAGTACAAGATTCAAGCTAAAACAACAGCCTATTGATAGAGACGCTACATGCCGACATAGTAAATGATTAAAAGATTTACCAGTTTTTAAATACTCCGGGGGTGTGTACGCAAGATTTGTGCTATAACTTTTACCATCCCTGCTATTCTTCATTAACCCAAAACAAGAGAGCCGTGGATCACCAACCTGCAACGGGCATATGTCAAGTCAACTGTAATGGCCAAGACAGATATCAATTAAGACGGAGAAAGAGAAGAAGACGATCGTCAAGATAAATAGTACAAGCAGAAATTTCATGAGTGTGTGTCCCAATGAAAATACCTCATCAAAAAGAACCCTATATGCATTCAAGTCATGGTAAAGTGGCCTGCCTTCACCGCTACAATAATCCAAAGCTTCGGCAATATATAAAGCTACTCTGAGACGCATAGCCCACTCAAGGGTTTGGTTTTCCCCTATATAAACAGGAAACAAGGTAAGCTGGCCATTTTGACATATGACTTAATACAACAGATCCAATTACAGAAACATGAGAGACAGTGACATGTTATGCTAATGATATGCATGTTAAGCTGTTATTTGGCTGAAATGTATGAATGTACTGTGTTTCCTAAAAGTTGTTTGGTGAAATGGACTTCACTTCAGCCAAATAAGGCCTTGTTTGGCCACCATTCCAACTTGTTCCTGCCTTTTATCATCTTAATATGCAATACAAATTTTATTTAATGTATGATCAACCTTCATCCAGTTTCACTGTAAAAAAACTACACTGGACAAATACTCTCGGACGGAATGAGTATCTTTTTGTGGGATTTTACTGGATTTGTTGTTCTTGTTGCACTAGTTCTAGTAAGGAAGACACAGAAAAATGCCCAAAAGAAAGAGAGAGCGAAGAGAAACAGTACAATCACATACAGTGGAAAAGGTGTTTAGTAAGTGTATCATTCGGCATGAACTCCGCCACAAGCAGCCTCTCGTCGCCGTCGCAGCAGTAGCCGATCAAATTCGCCAGCCGTTTGTGCCTGAACTTCCCAACACCCTTAGCTTCCTCCTTCAATGAATGTAATCGATTTCAAAATTAAGAAAGAAAGAAAAAAAAATCAACTCAAACCCTAAATTCTGCAGGAAGAAACTTCATGATCCCAAGAGAAACAGCTTTTCTTAATCAATGGAGGAAAGATGAAGCTACCGCGAATTGCTTGGGATCGGGCCAAGCCGTCTTGGTGAACTTCTTCACGGCAATCCAGCGCCGGTTCTGCAGGCGGCCCTTGTACACCACATTGGGGGCCTTCTCGCCGCTCTCGGAGACAATGGACTCCGAGCTGAAGCAGTTGGTCGCCGCCCTGAGGTCGGCCAGAGAAAACTCCGAAAAGATCGCCGCCCCTCCGCCCTCGGCCGCGGCGCCGTCTCTCCCATTGGACGGCGTCATAGGGCGGCTCAGACCCTGCCGCGGGTCCTTCTCCCAGTTGTCCCCGGGGAGCGCCGAGTGACAACAACCCATCACTCCTCCGAGTCGACTCAGCCAACTCAACTCCGCCGCCACAAAGCTAAAGCTTTCCTCCTCAGTTGATGAAAAAAATCATGTCCCTATAACCCCAAATTCCTTACCGCCACAGATTATTCGCCCAGCTACGATTGAGATGTGTATATATATACTCCGTATTTTTTTAAATACAATTTACAGACAAACAGTACTGTATTTTATGATGATTTTTCCCTTTTTTTTTTTTGAAAAGGAAAAAGAAAACAAATTGAGTGATGGGTTTACAGGAAGAAGGAAGGAGAAGTCTCCGAAGGAAGACGAAAGAGATAAACAAAAAGCGGAGCTTCTGCGAAATTATATGTATACAAACACACGCAAAAAACAGAGAAAAATCAAAGTGGAAAAAATATACAGTAATATGCTGAAACACAGTGTGAACAGAACTGCGTAAGAAATCTTATACGAACAGTTTTACTGTGAATAGACACCGGAGTAACTTTAAATTCTAGATGTGATGTATCCCAGAGTCAAATCTTAGAGATGAATAAAAAACGAGATGAAGAGACAAGTATTTAGGACATACTCACTTTTGACACGTTAATGTTTTCGATTAGTGTTAGTGCTTTTTCGATAAAATTTTAGTAAAGATGAATTCAGGAAGTAATGACGTCAAAAAACTACTGTCATGAGTTAAAGTCTACTGTCAAATAGTCTGTGATTCGGAAGTAAAAATGGAAAAAAACTCACAAAAACATACTCCCTCTGTCCCTGAGTATTTGTCCACTTTTGATTTTTTTCAGTCAACATTGGTAAACTTTGACCTCAAATTAAATAAAAAATGATACTCGTATTAAATATTGATATAAAAATAATTTTAGTAGATTTACTACATCAGATATTTTAAAAATAGTATTTCATGCAATTAATATATATTATATATTTTATTAAATTATAGGTCTAAGGTTGAAAATAATTAACTTAAAAAGTCAAAACTGAACAAATACTCAGGAACGGAGGCAGGAGTAAGTATTACATTGCCCAAAATGCTCAATGTGGCAGTACGTCTGTGATGTCCTCTCAAATTATATTAGGAGAAGTCCGTATTGCTCTCCTTTTTAAAGTACGGACTATTTACTTCAATTACTTGCATCAAAACTACACCCTCCGTCTTTAAATATTTGCCATATTTGTATTCCTAAGGTAAAATATCAAGTTTTTTCAATTCATTTTATTTAAATATTGGTATACAAATAAAAAATAAAATTTACATATCAAAAAACTACATGAAAAGTTCTTCGAAATAAGACGTGTCAAGAATATTTTATTTTATCAAATAACCAATGAAAACGTAGAAATAAACAAAAGTTCTCGCGACTGCTGAAAAAGCAAATGTTGTGAATATTTTGGGACGGAGAGAGTAAAAATAACTATGTGTAGACGTCTGAGATGGACATTCTACCTTTTTTAAATAAATAACCTGATTCTTTAGAACACTATCAATGATATTTGTAAGACTGGAGTTAAACATTGAGTTCAAATATTAGAATTAAAATAACATTTTCTTTTTTAAATGATCCGTGATTAAAGGGATGGGCTCGCCAAAAAGTCTAAAACTATCTAATCTCACGTGGAAACAATATCCATTTGGTTGGTTGAATTTCACCAAATTCCTTCGGAAAGAAAAGCCACCAAATTTACCCTTAAAAAGCCGCCACATTTGTTTAAGTAAACCCCGTATTTAAAATCAAGTGAGAGAATATATGGATTTACCATTTTAATTTGAAACATATGTAAGAAATACTACCTCCGTCCCAGAGTATTTGTCCACTTTCATTTTTACATACCATCCAATACACTTCTTTAATTCATTTTATTTTGTAATTTATATATTAAAAAATTATAGAAATTATATATTAATAATCTATATGTTAAGACAAATCAAACAAGATCACACATGACTATATTTAAGCTTACACATTGAGAGAATTTGATGAGTCAAAGTGCTTTGATGAACAGTTCCAAAAGTCAAAACTGGACGAATACTCCGGAACAGAGGGAGTATTATACTTTTGTGTTCCAGAGTGCAACTTAATTAGTTGATCAATAGAAGGCGTGTAAGTGATAATAACTTGACTCGACTCGTGACAACAATGAGAAATATTAAATTATTGCACGTAATCGGGACAAATAACGTTCTTTTTTTATATATTTACGTACTACTCCCTTTGTCTTAAAAAAGCTCACACTTTGATTTTGCGCAAAGTTTAAACAAAGTAAACATGTGTGGTTAACAGTGGCTCAATGAAAAGAGAAGTATTGTAAAACACTCAAAGTAATCTATAAAAGGAAAGAGAAGATTTTTTTGGGATGTTCTAAAAAGGAAACAAGGAATGTTTTTTTGGAAGAGAGTGAATATTAAAGTTTAATTTACTCCCTCCATCCATTAATTTTTTTCTCACATTCTTTTTTGAATTGTCCAAAAATTTGTTTCTCGTTTTTTATTTTCGCAAAATCATTTTAATGAATGTACCATTACACCCATACTTTTCATCTATACTATTCACTTTATTATATCACATCAAGAAAAATTATAAAAAGTTTTTACATTTTTTAATTTTTCTTAATCTTTGTGCAAGTCAGAAACGAGAAAGAAATGATTGAATAGAGGGAGTACATCTTTTAGATTATTGACAAAATTGATTTAGAGGGTGAAATTTCCCCATTCTTTCATACGGAGTATTATATAGTAAAATTTGTATTAAATAGGACTAAAACATAAGTCATTTCCTAATGTAGGATTTAAACTTTTTTATTTACTATATAGGACTTAATAATAACAAGTGAGAAGAATAATGACCAAGTGATGCTAGACATTTAGTTGAATAATGGCTAATAGATAATGACGAATGGTCCTACATTGGAAAATAAAAACATATGATCCTTTATTGAAAAAGTAATTATGTTTTAGTGCTATTATATACCCTCGAAAGAGTATTATCATTCAATATTATTGTTACTTAGCTACGAGTATTTAAAAACCGAAGGCCCACTTAAACATTTGATCTTCGCCTTACAGTAAACTTCAAGAATTGATTAATAATTTAATATGGGAATAACTATATAAGTCTATATTAATATAAACAACTAATTTAATTTTGAGTAATTTACTTAAATAAGACTAAAACATAATGACTTTCCGAATATAGGACCATATGTTTTTATTTCCCAATGTAGGACCTTTGGTCATTATGAAGTAGTCATTATTCAAGTAAATTTCCACCATTATGGACATTATTCCTCTCACTAGGTCATTATTAAGTCTTATTTAGGGAATACAAAAGTTTAAGTCCTACATTAGGAAAGTCATTATGTTTTAGTCCTATTTAGTGCAAATTTCACTTTAATTTTTCATCAGACAAAAACAAATTAAACAAACGAACAGATCATAATGCCAACTCAATTTGCCATGTTTAAGATTAAACAAATGAATAGTAAAAATATTCTCTCTCTCTCTCATTTTATTCCTTTTTTTTGTACGAGTAGTTCATATTAGGAATAATAGAATAATATTCTCTCCGTCCCATTTTAAATTGCCTATTTCGCTTTACGATATTTGACTGAAATTATTTTTAATTTATTTTATATGAAAAATCATGTACAATTAAAAAAATAAAAAATACATGTTTATAAACTAGATCAAACGATTTACAAAACTAATTGTGACATAATTATATTATTTTATCAATTCACTAAAGAAAATAGAAAGAAATTGAATGCAACTTGACCATATGAATAGTAAACAAACAATTTAATATGAGACCGAAGAAATAGGGAATAAGTAGAACACAGAGTATTATTATTATTTAATTTCTTTATTCTATATTATCATAATTAACTATTCACCTATAATTTAAATTCTTCCCATATTTGATATACTTGTATATACTTAATATAATTCTCACCAGTTAAAAAAACTAATTATTATGAAATTGTATAAATATATTGAAGCTAAGGTCCCTTTCTACAAAAATTTAGCTCTTTTTTTATGAGAGTCGCTACCGCCGGTCTTCATTATCGACAGTCGACCATCACAGATCGTGGCTTCACCGTCCCTTATCACTTTCTAACTTGTATTTTTTGTTAAGTTGGTTCCTTAACATAATACGGAGTACTACGTATCAGAACTTCATTAATCAAAAGATCACGATTCAAACCTATGGAAGACTCAACTAATTTTTCTTGTGCCTACAACAATAAACTTGAACTTCAAATCCGTAATAATTATCACGACACAAAAAAAAAAAATAGACAAATTAGCTAGGAGAGTATTCATAAAAAGGATGAGCCTCATCTCTAAAAGTCCCCTCAAGCCCGACTAGACGGTCACTGAGAAAGGTAAATTAGACTTTGATCACATATACTACATCCGTCCCAGAGTATTTGTCCACTTTCATTTTTACACAGCATCCAATACACTTCTTTAATCCATTTTATCTTGTAATTTGTAAATTAAAAAATTATAGAAATTACTCCCTCCGTTCTCAAAAACACTTCCTCTTTCATTTTTTCCACTTCCAACAAAACACTTCCCCTTTCTATTAAAAAATCACTTTTACCCTTACTTTTTCATACCATACCTATCACATCATACTTTTTCTCTAATAATCTATCCATCACATCTTACTTTTACCCATCGCATCAGGGGCAAAATTGGAAATCAACTATAATTTAACACTTCCTTATTTTTGCCCCCAAATCAAATGGGAAGAGTTTTTCTAAACGGAGGGAGTATATATTAATAATCTATATGTTAAGACAAATCAAACAAGATCACACATGACTATATTTAGGCTTACACATTGAGAGATTTTGATGAATCAAAGTGCTTAGATGAACAGTTTCAAAAGTCAAAACTGGACGAATACTACGGAACGGAGGGCAATATGCATATTCGTATGGATTGACTATCTAATTAGTTAGCTTAGGAACACTAATAATAGACTAATCTTTCTTTTATATTGTTGATACAACCCAACAAAAGGGACAAAAAACCCATAACAGCTTGGCCAAAAGCCCTGTACAGAAAAGGTCAACCAACCAGTCTTAAACAGGCCGTAAGCCGAGCCGGCAAATGTCGACGCCGGAAGGAGCGAGCCACGAAGCCGTTTTCTGTTTCATCACCTCAAAGTCGTTAACGCACCGCCCGAACCCCAAGCCCTTGGTTCGCTTCCGGGCCGAAGCGAGCTTCTTCCCGGCGGCCCGGTCGAAGATCTTCTCCCACCCGTCCTCCCATTCCGCGTGGGCGTCGCACAGCTGGAGCGACCCGTTCGCCCAATCCGTCCAGCTCCAGCCCTCGTTGAGCCGGGTCATCACCTGGGCCACGCACTGCCCGGTGCAGGCCGCGGTGCACGGCCTGCACTTTGCCCCGCTTAGTGGGCCGCGGCTCGAAATGGCCGCCACCGGGACGTCAAACCGGCCCGGAGGGAAGTCGTATTCGCGGTCCGTCACGACGCAGAAGGGGACCCGCCGGGTCGAGTACCGGACTCCCCGGGTCGTCAGTTGGGCCTTGAAGGCGCTCTCCGAGTTCAGCCGCTCGTATCCGGCGGCGGCGAGTTGGGGGATCGAGGAGAGGCGGGAGAGGGCTACCACGGAGGTGTTGAAGTCGCCGACGCCGAACCGGTCGTTCAAGCCGTGGTATGATGACCCGGATGGGACAACGTACTCGCCGTGGATGAAATGGTCCGGACTTAAGCGGGCGGACCAGTACCCGTCTACGCGGGTCCGGATGATCCAATCGTAGGTGAAGTTGTTCTTTAGTTGGTACGATTGAATCATATCAAGACAACCTTCGACCAAATTGAAATATTGTAACAAGCCCTGTTAAGATGTGACATGTTAAATATTGACGAAAATAAACAATAACAAACCACGGCGTGACAATATACAAAGTTACAAACAACTACTCCCTACGGTTGTATGCCAAAATCTTTACTCTTTAACTCATATTTTTCACAACTATCTCTCTACTCATGCAAATAGAGACCATTCTTAAAAGTTACGGAGTAAAACACAAATAAACTTGACATTATTTTTGGCAAAATTTACTCGAAATTACTTCTAGAATAACTTGAAAATATTGGTTGGGCTAAATTGTAGTGTTGGCCCTTTAAGTTACTGAATCACGCAAGGTTTGTCTTTTAACTTTAAAATTCTATGAATAATTTTTCAGATTACGTTAGCGTTGCATGATTGATCCTTATTAATTTTGTCGTTAGTTAGGATTTATGCATTTTTCTATTTACCATTATAAATAGATGTAAGTAACTCTCTCTTTTTCATACAATTGAGTCATACGAAGTACTTCATATACATCCATTTTATTTGAAATTATTGGTCAAAAAATAACTCAGGTTAGCTGTAATATAAATAAACACTTTAAGATGAAGTGAATATTTTTTTTAAAACAATAAACTAATAAATGCAAGACTAACTTATTACTATTTAAAAAATTAGATTAAGAAAAGTAAAAGTAAATTATTACGGAGTATTATTATGATTATTGAATTGTTAAAAAATGGAATTAATGGATCTATATTAAATACGGAGTATGATTCAGTTTTATCTTGAGAGATTTAATTGGGTTGTTGTTGATTCAGTTTTATGAAGAGAGAGCTCCTCTTATTTTTTTTATACTAGAAAAATGAAAGAACTAACGGCAAAATTAACGGAATAACCAACCCTGCAACGCTAACATGATTTGAAGAATTATTCATAAAATTTTCAAAGTTGAAGGATTAATCGTGCATGACGTAACAATTTGAATGCCCGACGTTGTAATTTAGCCTATTGGTCGCAATTTTTCCTCAACCATATTGTACCCCAAAAGGATGCATCAAATTATTCACGCTAGCACAAAATGTGAGATAAATAAAAAATCTACACTGATATTTTGTATTATTGTAAATCGTGTCACTGGCATTACACTAATACAAAATGTTACTACGGATTACTTAGTTCTTTTTTCTTTATTTAATTAGTTATTGACTTATCGGTTGGGCTATTCCACCGGCCTAACACAAAGCCAACAAGTGTCCCAAGTCCTAACAAACGCCTGTTGGCTGTTGCCAACAAAATCCAATCGTTTCCCTTTCATTCTACTCCGTAAATTCGAAAACCAAATCCGGACTACTCCGTATTTGAACTTTATTTCCAACCTTTATAAATAAATTACCCACTATCTTCTTAATTTTAATTTATTTTTTTAGGTGTTGGGTGTTTTATCGCTCTCCATACATATGTTGTGATCCTTCTTTTTGTGCAGCTTGAACCAGAGGCCTCTTAGAAACATTTAGGTAAAATGGATGTTATTTTAATGACATGATTAACATTTAAAATATTAAAACGAAACGTTTTTGTTAGATAACGTTTTCAAAAGCTATAAAAGTAAACATTCAATTTATTGTCAAAAAAGCCATATATTCGTACCCTGAATTGCTATGTGCATACCTTTCATCTGAAATTGCTAAATCTACACTCATTCATATAAATTTCATATTAGTGTGAATTTAGGAAATTTAGTTAAAGTGTAAGCATATAGCTATAGTCATAAAAGGTACTTCCTCATGTGGGACCATAAATTTTCCATACACTATTCACGTAGTCAAACCTAATTTACTTTTGTTTTGTTTATTTTTACTGCCTATTTTATAAAATAATATAATCTTCTCACGTCATTTTCACGTAATTTTTTATTATATAAATTTTATTTTTAAATCATGTACAAACAATCAAATAAATTGAATTAAAAATAAAGTATTTGAAAATTTATAGTCTTTAAAAATATTACTAGTGACGGCAAGGATCTTTTGCCCATTGAAGATACCGAGTCAGATTATGACCCAGTCCCCTATGATGTACCGTTCGTAAAATTAATGGTTTCTACCCTTAACCTTCCCTAAACTCTACCCATGCCCCGGTGCCCCCTACTTGCCCACCCCTGATGGGGGTGGAGTGAGGTAAAAATTATACTCCCTCCGTTTGGAAAAACCCTTCCCATTTGATTTGGGGGCAAAAATAAGGAAGTGTTAAATTATAGTTGATTTCCAATTTTGCTCCTGATGTGATGGGTAAAAGTAAGATGTGATGGATAGACTATTAGAGAAAAATATGATGTGATAGGTAGGGTATGAAAAAGTAAGGGTAAAAGTGGTTTTTTAATAGAAAGGAGAAGTTTAAGGGTCTGTACTATACTAGTAATACACATTTATTTAAGAACGGAGCTCCGGTCATAATATGAGCGGAGGTTTAAGGGTCTGTACTAGTAATACACATTTATTTATGGAATATCAGTTAATCAAATTAGGAATGAGTCGTTGAAAAGAACGCGTTATATGAGTACAAATTCTTAATTAGGATTTTTAATTAGGAATGAGTCATTGAGTGGTTTGCTGGACGTCGATTGCTTTTTTACCAGTAGAACATCGGATTCTTACACAGTAATTTATATGGAACAAGGAGTTTTTAATTATTTATACTTTGAAGTTTAAAAATAATTAATAGTAATTGGAAATCAAAAGGGGATATGAATAGAGAGTGGAATTGAATATTACCTGAATGGCATTGGGTGAGTTTGCGGCCGTGAGAACTCGGATTTGTGACTCGGTCGCGTTGATAGGCGCAGGTTTGAAGATTTTCACGGCGGCGATCCTGGGAGCGGCTCTGAGGAGGGAGAGCTTGTAAGCATTGGAATCCAGAGGACTGTGGAGGAAGAGGTCGGAATTCGGATAGACTTTGAGAATCCTCTGGAGAATGGACGGCCCGGTGAGCTCGAACCTCCGAGCGCCACCGACAAGGCAAACCGCGATCCTCGCCCCGTCCAAGTTCGCCGGCGCATTCCGCGGCGGCGCCGATTCGAATCCGCCGAGAATCGACAGGACATGGCCGACGACGGCGGAGGACGACGACGACATAGAGACGATGAGCAGCAGGGAGATTGGGAACATAATCAGCAACAGTAGCCTCCGATCGAGGTCCGAGAACCACCGCCTGAGCAGGAGAGCTAGTTCCGACGGATTTTTCAGAAACGCCATGGTTACCGTCATCGGATTACTCCACCGGCTTCGCGATCGGAAACGCGGAGGAATCGAAGATCAGAGAAATAGGGGGAGGAAGACGGAAAGCGGCTTTCCAACAGGATTTTTTGAATTTTGCGGAAAGAAGGAGAATGAGAATTTTAAGGGAGTGAATTAAGGGAGGGGGGATTTGGGTGGGTGGGTTAGTCACAGTAAAGGCGCATCTTAAATGTCACGCCATGACTTCAAAAAAAGATGATGACCCCTAATCACCAAGATTGAATGCCTTCTTTGTCTCTCTTTTTTTCTACTTTTATTATTCACCAATTTTTTAGGTAGTTCAAGTGACATGGTTTACATGTGAAAAATCTAAACTTAAGTTGGGAGGGCATCATGACACCTTGTTTGAGAAGAGCGTTTTCGATTAACGTTAGCATTTTGGATAAAATTTTAACGGTATAGATTAATGCTAACGCTAAAAACTACCATAAGATAGTCTTTTCAAAACGCTAACGCTAACCTATAATACTGATGTCAAACACAGCCCATGTTTTGTAGGCAAATTCTTCTAGGCTTTTTAGGTTCATGTTTTTTTATGGACCTTACTGAATTAAAAATGTGCAAGGATTGGGCTTTATGCTAAAAAATAAAAAAGATTCATCTACCAGCTCATGAAAAATATGAAAAGATTTATACTACCTCCGTCCCACTGTCTTTGTCCACTTTTGACTTTTGGAACTGTTCATCTACGCACTTTGACTCATCAAATTCTCTCAATGTGTAAGCCTAAAAATAGTCATGTGTGATCTAGTTTGATTCGTCTTAACATATAGATTATTAATATATAATTTCTATAATTTTTTAATATACAAATTACAAGATAAAATGGATTAAAGAAGTGCATTAGATGGTGTGCCAAAAGGTAAGTGGACAAAGACAGTGGGACAGAGGAAGTATTTCACATGTCAACGTTAGAACCACAGAAGAACAATTTTTGTTTGTAAGAAGTCTTTATATCTTTCAAGAATAAAATCTAATTTAAATCGAAATAATAGTTCAATTTATTCTTTCTTACATTATCGTCGAATTAGTCTTGGAGGGGGTGATGGATCTTGGTAAATTAAGTTCATCTTTTTCGTGATGGAGATATCCTTCACAAAAAATTATTAGCATGGATATCATGAAAATTTATGTGTGTCAAACACGTGCCTAAAATCCAAAAATGCATATTTTCATTTTGCAGGCCACAAACTCTCTCTATGTGTGCGTGTGTGTGTGTTTGCCCATGTGGACTTAGGTAAGAGTGTGATTACTTAAGCTTTTGCACCATATCATGTAGACTTTCTGGGTGTTAGTTGGTTTTTAGAATGTTTTTTTTTGTACTGGTGCTTGCTTTTGTAACCTATTAGTGCTAGTTTCATATGGTGTTTAGTTGTTGTCATTATTTTTTTTTTTTTTGATAAATGAATAAATTTGATTACAATTATTTGTACTTATTTTAACTAAGAGTTGTTCATCCTGGTTGTCACCTTGTGAAGACCTGCTACGTCCTAGAATCTTGATCCATCTAATTTTTTCTAATAAGGCAAAATTTTATTTAAGTGTGTGGTGTAAAATGTTAGTTACTCTATATACTAACTGTGGAATCATTTGAACAAGATGTGGCTGTAGTTTAGTGGTAAGAATTCCACGTTGTGGCCGTGGAGACCTGGGCTCGAATCCCAGCAGCCACATATATCTTTTTGCTCCACTGTTTTCATTTTCTATTGTTTATTTATTTATTTTGTTTTCATTTGATACAATCCTACAGCCATACCTTTTCTTATTTTACATAACCACAGTTTTTATCAAACATACTAAATCAAATTTCTTTCTTTGATTTGGAAGAGAGTTAGTATTTGAAGAGACTTTCATGATCTCTAATGGTCTAATTATTCTTTTTATCAAATGTTATTTATTTTCTTATTTTGGTTATTAATTTGATAAAATAATGTAGTTATGTCTTCTCTTGTTTTGTAAAAATTTCTAATGTAAACTTTAAACATGTACTACATAGTAATTTTTATTTCTTATATCTACACTTATTTTAAAATTAATTGATTTGGAAGAGAGTTAGTATTTGAAGAGACTTTCATGATCTCTAATGGTCTAATTATTCTTTTTATCAAATGTTATTTATTTTCTTATTTTGGTTATTAATTTGATAAAATAATGTAGTTATGTCTTTTCTTGTTTTGTAAAAATTTCTAATGTAAACTTTAAACATGTACTGCATAGTAATTTTTATTTCTTATATCTACACTTATTTTAAAATTAATTGAATTACAATGCTTTCAATCAAATATCGTAAACCAACTTTTTATTTGTAAACAATAAGCATAATTATTCGGCCAATTCAATACAATTAACGATTTCCTAGAGTTACAAAAAATAGCAAGCAAACGGGCGTAGAGTAAATTTTTCTTCCAGCAAATCGGTCGGAAAGTTCACCAAAATGTGCTGCTGAAATCTCTGCCCACTTTAAAACATCACTGACTAAGTATTTGAAGATAATTTCACGATCTCTAATGGCCTAAGTATTCTTTCTCAAACATTTTGCGATTAGGACCTAATTATTCATACTTCATAGCTATTATAATGTAATATTTGATCATATTTTTTCAACCTAATAACAGTAAGTATTTCTCCACCTCGGATGAGCTTTCCTTTGAACTACATTACGCAGTACTTAACAAAAGGACTCAACAAAATTTTCATATTTGGCATTGTTAGCATATAAATCCATATTACGGAGTACAACATTAAAAATTTTCATACTTGGCCAAATCCTAGTGTTTTCAAAATGAAATCCAAGTTTCCAAACAGAATCTTAAATTCCAAACACGGGGATTTCAATTTTCATGATCATTTTTTTTAAAAAATATACTTGCACTATATACGTTCGTACGAGTTACAAGATACACATGAGAAGATAAAAAAAATACAATATTTTTGTTTATAAAAAAAATAGAAGAAAAGAAACTAGTAATACTACTAAACTTGCTCAACTTCATCTCTGTTAAAGATGTTATGTTTTTTTTTTTGGTAAAGCCGAAACTTCTTCTTCCAAGCTGATATTATTGCACCTTCTTCTTCTTCTTCAAGGTTTGCATTTGTTCAAAGAATAGTATATCAGATCTGGGATCTCTCACTCAGTATGTAACTAATCTGAGAGCATCTCGTCCAACTCCGATTCCTCGGACATCAAACTCTCCTGTACATCGTCTTCATCATGTTCAGGATCAGACATTTCTGTTCCGTCCTCATCTGCTGCATTTTGTTCACCCTCGCCGTCATCATCATCGTCTTCTTCTTTCCGCGATTCTGTATTGGTGGGTTCTTGAGGGCTTGATGGCAGCAGCAGCTGTTTTGCTTTGGCATCTGAAAGCTTGCAGATGCATGAAGAAGGCTTTTCGTGAAACCCCCCGCCAGACCTGATATCCATGGGATCACCCATGAAGCCCTTCTGAAATCTAGTGACTTTGGACGCGAATTCTTCCCATGTCATGTTATTCCGGCTTAAGAAAAGACGCCATAGTTTCTTGCTGTTCGGTCTGATGGTGGGTTTATGCCCAAAGTATCTCCTGCGGTCAGAGAGTGAACACAAATTGGTACAGCTATTTTAATTCATCAACAAGAAACTTGTGGGTTAAATAGATAGATCACCAAGACACAAATTTAATACTCCGCACAGTGTAATTAACTCCCTCCGTCTCAAAATAAACTTCGCACTTCCTTTTTTGGGTCGTCCTAAAATTAACTTCTCATTCCTTATAAGAAAAGCATTGAATGATTCATATTATTCCTTGTGTTTGCATAAATCAACCAAACAACCATGATAATGCAAATGATAAGTTTAACTTGGGAGTAACATACTGATGCTAAGTATAATCATATTCCACAATGTGTAGGTTGGTTTTAAATTAGAAGCGTTTACTAATTTTAGACAATTCATTAACTCAATAAATTCCACACCACCGACTCCAACTAGTTAGGAAGGTCATGAGTTGATGATGATGATGTAGATGGTGTTTATGGCTAAGCTGGAAACAGTGTCAACCTTGCGGTGTGGTAAGCTGAAGAGCTCATGATTTATTCAAAATGAATGTTGAACACCCAACTCTGATCAATGTAACATGATTATACTTTTATGTAATGATATTAAAATAGAAATAAAATTTTCAAATAAAAACTACTCCTGTCTCAAAATGAGTTCTTTTTAGTCAAGGTACTCCATAATAAGGTACCACTTTTTATTTTTGGAAATGTACATTATCTTGAAACTCATAGGCTAATATACAGGGAATATATTTAAAAGTTACTTATTTGTTCAACTAAATTTACCTATCTAATGTGTGTGCAGTTTTTTTTACAAGTTACTAATTTGTTCAACTAAATTTACCTATCTAATGTGTGTGCAGTTTTTTTTTAACAAGTTACACATGGAGTATTACTTCAGTTTCACCAGAGGAATCCTTTTCCTTTATTGGGCAGATGGATTTGCACTAAAATCATATCTTCCTAAGAAACCACAATATACAAATTTGGTTTAGATGGTTGTTGAAAGTGAAAATGATCGCTAAGAATGAGAGAAGGGGAATACCAAAATAAATAGAATCATACCTTCGTCCTGCTAGAATTTTTGCCATGTTCCCGTTGTTGTTGGTAACAAATACGTCACTCTCATCACAAACTATGAAGTCTAGTGCAGCCATGCGGGCGGAAAAGGAAGAAAATGGTTGTAGTTCTTTGGCACTTGCAATTGTGTCCTTTGTATGAAAGTTTGGGAAGAGTGATTTTAAAGGAGCCAATGTCTCCCCTCCTCCATATACTTCACCAGATGCAACATAGATGTGAACATCACTGCCATATCCAAGTGCTCTCAACATCAAACCCACTTCTTCAGGAGTTAAAGGGCATCTACCTTGCCTCCTCCCTTTATCTGGATTGCTATTCTGCAAATGAATTTAGCATAGAATCCTAATCTGTGCCAGAAATTGGATATAAAATGGGAACACAATATGAGGCAGATTGCTCCTTCCAGTAGACTAGTAGCAGTAGCCAATTAGCTTCTGCAAATATTGCATAACCATCTTGCGCAAGTGTGCATTGAGCACAATGCATCCCATGAAATGATGGGATATGAATTGGGACACCTTATCTTTGTTCTTAATTGAGTAAATTTTGGTTGAAATGACCAAAGTTGCTGAGACTGTATAAGAAATTGATGAATTTGGCGAGTGAGATAGTTTGTATATTTTAAATAAACTGAAGAAAATATAACTTAACATGTTGACAGGAGTGCCAATTCATCGGCTTTTGCAATTCAGTTATTTCAGCCAAAAAATAATGTCTGCACTGCTTTTATTATTATCAGCTGATACAGCATGGGTAGTTCATAAGTTACCGTTTGATAGATACGGAGTAATATAGATGATAAGGCTATAAAGTGTGTGTGTGTGACTATAGTTTTATTATCAGCTGATTCAGCATGTAGTTTTTTAAAATATACTCCTTCCGTTCCTTTAAACCCTTCCCATTTTGACTTTGGGCCAAAATAAGGAAAGTGTAATTTTGGTTGACTTTCCAATTTTGTCCCTGATGTGATGGGTAAAAGTAAGATGTGATAGTTTGGTTATTAGTGAAAAAGTATGATGTGATAGATAGGGTATGAAAACATAGGGGTAAAAGTGGTTTTTTAATAGAAAGTGGAAGTGTTTTAGAGAAATGGAAAAAACGAAATGGGAAGGGTTTTATGGAACGGAGGGAGTAGATTTTATTTTGAAATGTTGTACCAATATTTATATAAACAGGATTGAAAATAAACTCGGTCAAATTTTCTTGTCCATAATGGGACAATAATTCATGACAGAGGGAGTATATGTCTTCCAAAGAGGCACTAATAATCATAGACTGCACTACTTAAGGTGACAGAAAGTTCGTGACTTGAGATGTTTTGAGGAGTTGGTACATGGATCATCCCTTTTATTGCAAGAGCAATGTGAATATTTAAACGAAAGGGAAATAGGAAATAGCCATGAAGATATTTTGAGATTTAGAATTCCTTTATTAAATCATTTGCTAATCTTTGAATACTGAGTTTCACATTAGTACATCTTCTAAACACAGAGATATTAGTTGGGCTTACATGTAGAGTTTTCCACCTCTTTCTTATTTTCCCAAATTCCATCCTCTCCTTGTCTCCTCCACCGTAATAGCATCCTGAGAATGCAAGCATGTCAGGTTCAAACCTGTTCAATAAAAGATAATTACAGTATCAGCAGGTTTTCTGATCCCTAATCATCTTTTGGGTAAATCATCAATATCACACTGGAGCCATTAATTTTTCCTGATATTCCTAGACCTCTAAAGGTCTCTACTCTGATGCATCAGGCAAAAAAAGATAGAAATGTTGAGTTTAATAAAAAATAACATTATTGAAGTTGCAGGTCAGCACATTTAGGACTAGGAATTTATTATAGGCACATGCCCTTAAGCTTCATCTAAACAGATTCCCTCTTATGAATCATTATTGCTTAAAATGCAGACTGTAAAATTCAGTAATAACAGGAAATGGTAATGCACTCCAAGAAAACATAACACGTTGTAGGGAAATGGAAAAGGAGGAACATAATCCAAGGCACACACATGCACACAAAGTGAGAGAAAGAGAGAAGGAGAAAGAGAGAGAGAGAGAGAGAGAGAGAGAGAGAGAGAGAGAGAGAGTGTGTGTGTGTGTTTAGCGGGACAGGAAAATATAAGGGGTGCCCTATTTTAACTTCTGTTGTAACATATTCAATTAGCAAGTTTCCCCCACTCTACTTCAGAAATTTTATTATGGAAACAAGTATGCACTGAAACATTCAAACCCCCACATCCTCCATTGAGAAAAGGATAAAGAATTGGAATATGTAAGCTCAAAGAAACATCGAAGGCAAACCTTAGGTGAAGTGCTATAAAATGTTTGCTTTTTGCCCTCATCCGGCGAACCAATTCCTTTCCCATTTCAAGTATAGGGTCAACAAACTTCAGAGCATGATAATTAACTCTGCATCGTAGTTTTTGCAACTCTGTCTCCAGCCTATTTGAAAGCCTGTAGTCAAATTTGGGGATCTTGATAGCCTGTAATGAAACAGAATGCTTATACTTGCGCCTGTCAAAACCTTTATATATGAACAAACTTAAAACACAAATCACCCCATTTTCTAGATAAAAATTGACCTGAGGGACACTATTACCAGCAGCTCAAAAACATGACACCCTGTCTGTCATTCAATGCATATTTTAGGGTGGAGTGAGGCTCAGCTTAAAAGCTCGTGGATCCAGAAACAGTTTCAAGGTATTTACAGCAGAGATATTTAGTAAAAGTGAACAGTTGTAGAGTTACAGGGGGGAAAGGAAAAGGGGAAAAACTGGCCTCCTAGAAATTAGAATACTAAACACCACAAAGAGCATGGGAACTCATTTTTCTTTTTCAAGAAGCAATCAGGCTATAGCATCAGCATATCTGAGGAAATGAGAACTTGAAAAGTACTCTTATTACTTTACCATCCAAAAGGCAGCAGATTTAATACACTTATGTTACAATTTCAACAACAAAATGCTACCTCCGTCCCAGAGCATTTGTCTAATCTGTCTTTTTTGAGACAAAATGGACAAACTTTGATCATCAATTAAATAGAAATTGTATTGAATATTATTACAAAAATGATTTCATTAGATTTATCTAGCAGAAAACTGTAAGAACAGTTTGTTATTTGTTTTACTCCTATATTTTACTCTTAATTAATCTTTGTATGCACGGTGAACACGAAGATTTGGCTGGAGGTTAAAACGTGGCTGGGCGACAGGCGTTGAGAGGGAGTTGACAACTTTGGACGGAGCAATATGCTGAATGCGCAGGCAGCGCCATGGATCCATAGTCAGGAAGAAGGCCGTACGTTTGGCTTTTGCGTGCACAGTTCGCTACATTTTGAAGACTAGGAATGCGGATTGTTTTTTTCATAAATCTATTGGTGTTAGTAGTGGTAAATGTGAATTTAAAGTCATGGTCTATATTGTTCTCTATAGGCTTAATCCTGTATATTTGATTGGTTTTTGAATGTCGGTTCTGTGTGCCGTGTGATCTGTTGATTCTGTTCATTCAGGGATGCCCATCCTACCTTGTATATTCGCACCTGGGTTACTAATGTTTACATTTACACTTTACCCAAAATCTGTGTAACCCATAAAATGTTCAATAAATAGATTTGGATTTATCATTTCTATCAAGTTAATGAAGTGTTAACTACACATGTGTGCTTCTTCCAATAACTTGTGTCTACTCGAGATAAGTGGAAAACTTACATGTTTTTTATTGAGTATGGGCACAATGCGGCTTATATAGTATCTTTCACTGCACTTCCTTGGAACTCGAACGGTATATGGAGTCCACGTCTTTCCTCTATTAAGTGGAAGTTCTTTTATAATTATAACATCATTTGCAAGATGAGATATGAACCAATCAGCATCAAACAAATCTGAGAAGTCACTGCAGAGAAAGGGGTACGCAAGTTGATGAGGTCATGAGTTACAAGCAGGATCTAAAAAAAACTCTGATGCTCTTTAAACTCTATTTCTCTCTGGAATTTACTCAGAATAAAAAAAATAGTATACAGTTTACAAGTACAGCAGATTCTCCATACTTGCCTGGAATCTTTCCAAAAGGACTTCTTGTCCAATGCTGGGACAACTAGAGTAGCATTCAAGATGCGAGCAACAACAACAGCATCAACTATCTGTCATGTAGAAGATAAAGTATTCAACAATATTAGATATTTGACCAGTGAGGAACCTTCTCTCTACAAAAAACACTTGTGCCGTTTAGAATTCCAATATCGTCAAAAAGAAGAACCAATATTCACATTCTCATATTTAATAAAGCGCTTAAAGAGAACATCAAGTAATACCATTATAGGATAAATATACAAGGTTTAAACAAAGAAAAAAATATTCAATTGTCCTACACCCATCTCTTTTATTTTATTTCTTCTTTTTCCTCTTTTCGTAAAAAATAATATCTTTCTCGTGTACTTTTTTTCACAACTATAATGAGCATTTTGTTCACAGTCAATAAACATAGCCCAAAAACAGTTCATCCAACTACGGAGTAATTAGCTATAATCATTAAACTACGGAGCAATTAGCATCAGTCAAATCAGTGACCCAGTTCATGATACAACTTGAGTGCAAGATATTATATTCCATATCAGGCAAAAAAATGGGCGATCAGTATCTACCAAAATATTCATCAATATTGACTTAGCCTCCCTATCTTGAAATAGTTGCGTCCTCTAAAGCATCTTAAAGCAACTAACTGCAAATAAGTGACTATGATAATGTTGATATTTAACAACACCAAATATGTACTACCAGCCATATCCATTTATTTCATTCCTTCCTTTTTTACATCAAATTCCATCGCTATTGCTAAAAACATTTCTTAGAAAATTACCCCTGTTCTCTGTTGGTTGAGGCCTCCACTCGCTGCGATCGACAAGTACCAATTTGGATGTGTTATGGCATTGGCATCTGCAATTCAGTCCAAAAAAATAAAAATGACCAAACCATAATGAAATCCAAAAATAGCAAACTGATCTCATGGAAGAGGACAAATGTCCATTGAGTAACAACCCATAGGCTAACATGTTCCAAGTTCATCCACCTGAAATTCACTTACTAGTTTAGTGCTGAGTACATTATAAGAAAAAAATTGAATTCTGCATAAAATATATCCAGAAGCAAAAAATGGAAAATCTTGACAACGGGTTGGGGCGCACAAATTAAGAAAGCAAGAAGCTGAATGATGAGCTGCTATTTAAGCCCGACGTACTGGCAAATTTACTACTGGAATTACTGCATCCATAGAAGAACTTGGCATTTTTTGACTTCCAAAGATCTTGATATCGTACTCCTCCATTGGTCTAGATAACAACAATTAAAACACCATACTTAGAAACTACTAACACAATAGAAAATACAATCTAGAACAAAAGAAATGGCTTTCAAATAAACCCTAACCGGAACATGAAACAGGGGCCTTCCAGTCTCCTTACCAATGCCTTGCTTAACCTGATACACACAGATATGTAAAACTCAATACATATGTATCATCGCATTGCGTGATTCAAATGAAGCCTCAACAGAAGTAAGAATAAGAGGAAGATGAGTCGGTTGAGAATTCACCGAGATGTCACGGCGGCCGTAGTGGAGCCGATTGCTATCAGTGAGAGGAGGCGCGAGCAATGAGAGGAAGATAAACAAGATGAGAATGACGCCGGAGACGAAGATTATGGCCGGAAGTAGAGACCTTGAGCGTCGGTGGCTCCGCCGATGCGACGACATGCGGATGTGGCGGTGCAGTCGGCCGCCTAACTCACTTCCGTCGTCCTCGGACGAAGAGATTTCGCAGGTTTGATGAAATCGGAAGGTGCGCTGATTAGTTATAGGGAAAGAAATTTGGCATTTCGTCGTTTTCTTCACCGGGAAGGCTCAACTATAGCCTGATTCCGCCGACGATTCCATTCTCCGGCAGGCTCCCGTTCACCTTTCGCATCTTTTATTACTTCGTTCGCCTGTGAAACTTTTGGTTTTTACTGTTGTACTTAGCTTAATCAAGTAAATTATGCATTCATTTATGCAATTATGCTTTCAATTGTTAAAATCCCATCAAAGAGAATATTGTTGCTACTTTAGACCATGACGCTAACTTGAAATATTTCGATTAATCAAAATCAATTTAGTCAGCGTGTGTGGTGGCAAGTGAGTGGAGTGACATTCTTTCCAATGACATCTTATTACTTTTATCAATTTTTACACTTTTTAAACATATTTTAATTATAAAAATTATTTTACTTGTCTTTTTTCATAAAAATAGATGTGCAAGGGCTTAAGCGAGAGTGGGATAGTGTGCAGGGATAAGAGTAGGGTGAGGGTGAGGGTGTATAGGGATGAGTTAAAGGATAGAAACCATCAATTTTATGAATGGAACACCAGAAATATCCCAAAATAACAGTTACTTCGTACATTGCAAGTATCACTAAATGTGGATGCCACTAAAACTTTAATAACAAAAAATATCTATTACGGAGTATAAGTTTTTTTAAAAATATTTTAAATTTCTTTTTCAAACGTTTAATTTTTTATGTAACAATTACTCCGTATTTCAAACAAACAAATAAAAATAAACACATCGTAAAATTAGCTCGTTAATTGAGTAATTGACATGTCAGTATTTTAACAATGTCATTAATATTTAAAATAAATTTTTTCAAAGAAAGTAAATTTTGATTTAATTTACTCCATATTTCCAGCTACTTGAGTATTTAATCAATCAAATTAATTTGGACCAAAAAAATGAGTACTGTATTAACTTTTGAAAAGCTTTCCAGAATCCCAAAGATCATAATCCTCGATGAAGATTGGGAGGGAGACACGGGTTTTAGATTGAACTACCCAAAGAACACACACACACATATATATATCATCAAAAACCCATAAAATTCCAAGTGATTTTTGGAAATGTCTTCCTTGACGCTGAATCCCTTGTTCATGGTACAATCTCTGCGATCGTCGTCTTCTTCGTCTTCATCCTCTTCCTCACCTTCGACTCTTGTTTCGTTCCGGAGAAATCGGCTGTGTAGATCGACTAGCATCCATGTGAACTCTAGGTGCCGGGGAAGGTCCGAGTTGAGAGCTCAATCGTTCGATGGTTCTGATGTTAACAGGAAGGGCTCAGATGAAGACGATCCCAATGGCGCCGGTTCGAAACCCCCGAATGGCTCTTTGGTATTTTACTCTTGGATTACATCTTCGTTTGGAGTGATTATTGCATATTCGTTTTTGTTTTCCATTCAGAATGAGCTTTCAGATTTTCTACTTTCTAGGAACTGCTAAGAAATGTAAAGAGCAGTCAGGGGATTTATGTTTGTGTAAAGAGAAATTTGGGTGGTTCTATTTTTCAAGTTAGGCATTTATAGTTGATGTGTAATGTGTAATGATACGAAAAGGAAAAGTAGTTATAATGTTATTTTGAAAATTGACTAGATTTCTCATGTTTTAGTCATACAAATTTTTAGTAGACAGACTTTGATAAATTAACTTTGTTGCGGTCATGGTTCGGGTAATGCCTATTCCCATAAAGAGTGGTCATTTCAATTTATCTTGTGTTAACGTTTTTTTTTAATTTGGTTCAGAATCCTTCTCTAGGATGCTCATTTGTGGATAAGACAATGAACATTTTCCTTTTGAACGATGTTAATCTGGAGATATGTTGGATTTTAAATTATCATGGTGCATCTGAATGTATTATATACGTACTCGGGAAGGGTTTGTGTAAATAGAGTTGCAGGAAACAATTTGAGTGAGAAGTAATTTTGGATGCATCATGCATGAATGAGTATGCGTTTCCAAATGTAAAATTTGCAGCATAAAAGCAGGAAGGAAATTTTGTTGGAGTATGTGCAAAATGTGCAGCCTGATATTATGGAGCTCTTTATCAAACGAGCACCTCATCAGGTACTATTTGTTGTTGCGTTAAGCTGAAGCGTTTGACTATTCGTAGTAACATGCATATTCTTTCTAGACCTTGCCCCTACTTGAAAGTAGTTTTTTTTCTTTACATAAATTTGCTTTATAAAAATTCAACAAACGCAACTATTTTTGTAAATAACTCATACAAACAAGCATTAAATCAAGGACTTGCTGTTTTTTGTGTGGTTTGGGTATTAGTTGTAGCCAGAGAATGTGGGAAGAACTAAAAAATGGTCTTGATGATGTCATGAAAGGTAGTAGATGCAATGCGGCAGACAGTGACAAATATGATGGGAACGCTACCTCCACAGTTTTTTTCTGTCACTGTAACCACTGTATGTCAATCTCTTTGATCTCTGGCTTTGCTTTTAGTATGAACAACATCACAATCATCTCCTTGGTGATTAATGTTGTTTTATGTTGCATTCCATTTCTTTCTTAGGTTGCAGAAAATCTTGCGCAGCTTATGTATAGTGTTATGATGACGGGCTACATGTTTAAAAATGCACAGTTTCGTATGGAAATGCAGCAAAGCCTGCAACTCGCTGCTCTTCCTAATCCTGAAACACAAGAGAAAACTGTGAGATTTTATGCATTGCCCCCCCCCCCACCCCAAAAAATACACAATTGCATGTGAATAAAGAAATGGTTGTTCATGTTTTAAAGTTAATTAATGAATTTATGATATATCCTAGAATAAGTTTGCCATGGCCAGTCCCAAGCATGGGTACATGGTGGTTTTGGATACGGGGAGCTTAATAGGGAAGGTCAATCTATTATTGATTTCTCCATTGTTTATGATCTTGCGATTATGAATACCTGCTTTAAGAAGCGAGAGGAACGTTTAATCACGTACAAGATGTATGAGGACAATGTTTGGCTTCCTTTTAGTACAATATTCTCACGAAAGGGTGTGTACTAATTGCAAGGTGATGACGGTACCACACAACATCAAGTTTTGACTCTTGATGTCTTGTTTTAGGTGCCCAAAACAAAGGTGTCAACAAGGTTTACACTCAAGGAATAAGTGGTGGCAATTAAATGGAGAGAAAAGAGACACTTAAAAGAACAACAATGTAGAGGAGGGAGAGTGGGAACACGAAGAAGATGTTTTTTTTCCGAAAGAATATGGTTAAAAAGATCTAAAAGGTGGCTAAAGCCACTTTGGCGTTGCTCCTGTTGAATAGAAAATGGTTGAATTTTGATTGAGGTGGTATGGACATGTTCAAAGATGGCCACATAGCGCGCCAGTGAGGAGGGTTGGTCAAACGGGTTGGTCAAACACCATGGAGTCCCATAAAAATATGGGACTCATAGAGCATGACCTTGTACCTAAAAGAACCGTCAGTGAGGAAGACCTAAAAGAACCGTCTGAGAACTCATAGAGCATGACCTTGTACTTAATAATATACCAAAAGATTTGGTTTTCAATAGAGCACAATGGCGTCATGATCCACGCGGCCAGCCCCACCTAGTGGAATTTAAGGCAAAATTGATGTTCAAACTCGACCCCTTGGCAATACAAACTTACATATCTCTTTGACACAATTTCCTTTTGCTTAGGAACAAAAAAAACACATCTTATAGTCTCTTTTTAATGCATTTTTTAAAATTTTATTTGTATTATCCCAAAACTCTGTTTGAGCTCAAAAGCACTCTGATCCTACGTTATCCTTCTGTTATCACGGCCAAAGTATTTCCTAGTATAAATTTATGTTCTCAGAGTATCGCAGTGGCCTAGTAACCGTTACCTACTTACATGTCCCTTTATTGATGCAGCCAATAAACTTTTTAAATTTCTGACGTGAAATCTAAAAGTGTATTGCACACAGGACGTACCAGATTATGCACCTGGAACACAGAAGAAAAAGGTCTCTGGTGAAGTTATTAGGTGGAATAACGTTTCTGGTGCTGAAAAAATAGATGCATTGAAATACATAGAGTTACTTGAAGCTGAAGTCGATGAATTGAATCGTCAAATAGAACGAAGATCTGCTAATGGACAGAATGAATTGTTTGAATACCTAAAGAGCCTTGAACCCCAAAACCTGAAGGTATGAATTTGGTTGCGAGAGAATTTCAGAATTCTTGCATCAGTGACCAGCCCTTGCATACCTTTCATATTCAGCATATAGGTGGTTTATAGTTTATACATTTGACTTATCTTATGTCATAGTTATTTGGGAAAGTGGGAACTTTGGTCTTTCATATAGCGAGCAATGGTAGGTTTAGTCCATCACCTATTAGTGTCACCACCTTTAGTCCCTTAGATATCCTAAAAGTGGTAAGTCTAGCCTTTCGTGAATTTACATGTCATGTTTTATATTTCTTATTAGTATCTATTCTTCTGATTAGCATCTTGTCTCTTGTCAACTTTTATGTCACGTCGTGAGAACTGACTTTTTTACTTATCCCAAATACAATTGATAACATACATTTCCATTAAAATAAAATCTAGAGATGAAGCGGGAGTTTTTGGACTTTGATTACAATCCTATATAATCATCTAATTATTCTTAAAACCCAGAGATTTAAACAATAACAAATTGAAGTTAAATCATCTTTCTTGAACCAAGAGCTGTACAGACTGATGAATTAGGGAATATATATATATATATATATATATATATATATATATATATATATATATTATATGTATGTATGTATGTATATATATATATAGACACACACACACACTAATTTATCGCAATTGGGTGACCAAAAAGTTCAATTGTCTCTAGTCATCTTGTCTGCATTTGCTAAGCACTCTACTGGCTTGTGGATATTCTTGTGTAGGAGCTTACTAGCAGTGCCGGTGAAGACGTTGTTCTTGCAATGAACACATTCATTAAACGCCTCTTAGCAATTTCAGATCCCAGTCAGATGAAGGTATATATTTATAAACCTTCTTCGTGGAACATTCATTATATCATTAAGAGCCCTTCTTTTTACATGAATCTGGGATGCATTCCATTGCATGGTCTCTAATAGTATACCCATGTGATCGGACTCTTTCCCGATCCCTTCTAAAGAAATCTTTTTGTGCATGAATGCCATTTTTTAATTAATTCCTTCTTTGGGGGCAGAGGTTGATGAGTGAGATCCAAGTGACATTACCCTAAGAAACATGTTTGGTTTAAGAATTAAGTAGTGGAGTAACAATTGCTCCCCCTGTCTCTAAAAGGACAACCTTTCCTTTTTAAGCTGTCCCCAAAAGAAATTCACATTCCATTTGTTGCTTACGAATTTTGACTCTCCCTTTCAATGTGGTGGGAATGAAAATGCAGACAAGCGTAACTGAGACGAGTGTTCCAGAACTGGCAAAGCTGCTATACTGGCTTATGGTTGTCGGTTATAGCATCCGCAACATCGAAGTTCGGTTTGATATGGAACGGGTGCTGGGCTCTCCTCCGCCAAATCTTGCCAAACTACCGCCGGCCGAAAATCTTTAGGACCTTTCTCTTCTCTATATTCATTTTGGGTTTTTGCCTGTGCAACATTTATATGTGTGTATACACACCATCCAAAGGTGGTGTATATTTTTTTTGCAGGGTTTCCTTTGTTTTTTTGTTTTCAGTGTTTTTTTTTGTAGAATACCATCATTTTAAATAGCTGTGCTTTTTCTCACGACATTGTAGTAGAACTAATTGTACTCATCAGCTGGCATGGCACAATATATGTAGTGTTGATTTGGGTTTAATTCTTGGCAATTGCATCAGGAAGTTGTCATGTTTGCAGGATCTCACTTTGTATTAACGAGATTTATATTACTCCGTGTTCCAAAAAAAAAACTCATGGTTTAACATAGCACTAAAGTGAAAAATGTTTGGTTGCAAGTGATGCCAAGAAGAGAAAGATTATGAGCCAAAGTTTATAAAAAAAAACAAAAAAGGAGTTTTATTGAAAAAATAGATACTTATTTAAGTAGTAAGAAAATGTTTATTTTTACTCATATGTATGTCTATGGTGGAGTTTAGGTTCACCATAAAATTTGTCTTTTTTTAGAGGCAGTATTACTCAGTTTATCTCGTAGGTTATTGTCGGGTTGGTTTTTGGAGAAGGGATTTATCTTGTTTTTAGTAATTGAGTCAATGAAAGACCTTGTTGTCTAATACTCCTTCTGTTCCGTTTTAAATCGTCTGTTTTGACTTTTGAGTATATTTAAGGAAAAGAAAAAATAGAGTTGATTTTTTGAAATTGCCATTACTTTTTAGGAGGAGTGACGATGAATGAGAAGATAAGATGAAGAAGAGTGACTTATTTTAGAGGTAGTTTAGGTATTTCATTTTTAAAAGTTTATGGAAACAACTAACAGGTAATTTATTTTGGGATGGAGAAAAAAAGCAAACAGACAAATGGTGCGAATGAAGTTGACCTTTTGTTTTTCAACAAGAGAGTAAGTTTGAACATATAACCATATACTCCATACTTCATCATTTTGAGACAGGAGAAATAAAATCAGAGATACTCTATGTGTCCTAAAACACCAAGGTTCCCATGACATTGGGTTCCAATGTCATGGGATGACCCGGGGGCGCTCCAGTGCCCCGTTCGTAAAATTGACGGTTCCTACCCCCCTAACACCCCCGGTAAACCCCCCACCTCGCCCTGACCCGAACACACCTCCCTACCCCCGTCAATTACCCCCGTCAATTGTACCGCATTTTAAGTGAAAACATGTAAAATCTCATATAATTTGAAATTATTTTATATACAAATTGGTATAAACACAAGTAAAAATTCCGTATTATATACTCCCTCTATTCCAAATTGTAACCCACATCTTGAATAATGTGTACAATATCATCTTTTTTAAAATCATTTTATTTATAAATTAGTAAATAAATAAAAAGTAAAAATTACACCATTCAAAAATAAATCAAAAGTTTTAGTACAAAATAAGATGCGACAAGAATATTTTATTTTATAAAATGATCAACCAAAACGAGTAAACAAAATAAAATTATCGAGAGACTAAAATAGTAGCTGTTGCTTACATTTTGAGACGGATGAAGTATTTAAACTACATAAAAGTTCAAATTAGAGAATTAAAACAAAATGTTATATGTAAATATTTTATTTTATCAAATAACCAATGAACAGACATAAATAAATAAAAATTATTGGAAGACCAAAGCAATACTCCATAGTAATTGTCTAATTGAGACTATTTTTGGGACGGACGGGAGAGTGACCACACTCTTTTTCAAGAGAAAAAAGATATACAGAGTAGTTTCGTAAGGACGAAAAATAAAGTGAAAAAGAAATTAATGGAATAATGAGATGTTCTTAATTTCATCGATAATAATCCGAAAGGCTTTGAGGAAAAAATAAGAATGGCATTGCTTATTGTTTTTCTTAAAGTAGTTTATATCATATGTTACAGAGAATGGACAAACCAAAGCACACACAACCCACTGTAGGAAAAGAAAGAAGGTAAAATTCAACATAAATTAAACTAGAAATACACTCCTATTGCACCTATTTGGACCTCCTGCGATTAACAGAGGTAAAGATATAGAGACAAAATTTGGCCTAAATTCTGAACCAGAGCTTCATTCCCACTTCCAGAAAGAAACGACAGCATTGCACCAAACCAACCGATCATGGAGGAACCCACACAAATGGTTTGGGGTGGGGTGGGGTGGGGTGGGGGGCTTAATTAAGGGTTACCCGCCGCCAGCTGTAGAGGGTAACAATTCTTCGGCCAGCTCGGGTATGCACGTTTGAACAAACTCATGCATACAGTGTCATGCTGCTGGAGGACTCCATTGAACACGCATTTCATCGCCCCTGAGAATCAGTTTAAATTTTATATTTAAAAAAATGCCGTAGTAGTATTCAAAGAAGCTATATTTCATTAAAATTATTGACAATTTTCAACAAAAAAAAACTGAACACTTGATTATATAAGTGGGGGTCTTTTGGGAACAACTTCACTTCCAAGTAAGGTAAGGTCTTGGGGTAAGGTCTACGTACAGACACACCCTCCCCAGACCCTACTTTTGGTGAGTTTGTTGTTGTTACTTACACTAACTACTTTAAGCACAAAAACTTTGTCTAAAGTGACACCTTTTTTCTGGGACAGACGAGCATACTCTTATGAACCAGCCATTTCATGTGTAATATCTTTATTTTGAAAAGAAGCAAACACTTGTCTTTATATTGAAAAGAAGCAACCTATAAAACATAAATTTATAGATTACCATGTGTGCCGAGAGGTTCCTTAACGCGACCACGGCGACCAAGCTTTGTCCAAACCTCAACAGGCTGCAGAAAAACAACAATACCAATAAAACTAGTTCAGATAAGTAAAAACAGGCTGCAGAAAACAACTTTAGTGTGAGTAACATTTTTACCTTGAACCATCTCACATCCTCCGGAGTGTGGAACATGTATCTTACAGACGCTTTCATTTTTGACACTCTTAAAGGGTACCTGCATGATACAGGTAATTAAGTGATTCATTAATACTTTTCTTTCAAGAAACAATAATTTTCCATCTCGAAGAAATAGAATCTAGAAATGGTCTCCTGTGAGTCTATCTCGGTGAGGCGTGAAGCCTTTCTATAAGAGAGAAGTGATACTGGAGATGGTCTCGCAAGAGTTTGTATCTAGAATCAAAGGCATATTATATTTAGTTTTCTTTTGGCAAGTAAAGAAGAAAAAAGGTTTTTATGTATTGTTTCATTTTGAAAAATAATAAGGAAAATCAGAACCGATAGAAGAAATTTCAAGTTTAGAAGCATTCAAATTTCCCTCTTAATAAAGAAATAAACTCACTCCGTTCCAAAAAACTTTGCATGCATATAGATTAAGTCAAAGTAGAGTGTAAATTTGTGTACATTTTGTAAACTAATTCAATGAGGAGAGAGAAATAGCTTAAAATGATAGAGTAAAGGAAAAACTTGATGCGAGAGAATTTCTGAAGAAAAGTGTGCAAAGTAATTTGGAACATCTAAAAAAATGCAAAGTAATAAGGAGTGGAGGGAGTAGCATTGAAGACTTTGAACCACTCCTCAGTTTTCTCTCTACTGTATGTTCCTAACATTTTCCTGGTTCCAAAAGGATTGCAACAGTTTGGTCTTTTCGTCATCTACACTTCATATTTTTATATACCAATGCCAAATGAGTAGTAGAACAGTAAGGAATACAAGAGAATTAAAATGTTACCCTGTTAATATAATCTTCTTTAGAATAATCCTATCAGGGTCAATACATCTTAAAGAGCCAATAGCAGCAACAGCTGGTGAAGTTAATTCTCCATTGGTTTTCAGAGCAATCAATGGAAGTGGAGGAAACGAAATCGGAGCATAGACTGAAGCAATTGAAAAGCGTCCAGCATGGAGAAATCTCTCCATTTTATGCTTGTCAGAGGTAATATTGTCGGAAGAAAATATTGGCCTACAATAACACACAAAAAAGCCGACAGAATTTGCTGCATATTAAGGAATTGGTCACATTTTTTCCCCATGAAATTGTAAGGAGAAATACCTCGCCACGAACTGGCGAAACCCAACATGAAACAACAACTCCTCTTTTGATTTTATAGGAGCAGTGTATGAATCATGCTTCTTAACACTGCAAAAACAAACAATAGTAATTAGAACCGTGAATTCCGAAAGATAAATACTGACAGGCTTGACAGCTCTTGGACCAGATCTTCACAGAAAAAGAGGTCAGGAGTAGTCGCATCGTAGAGTGATGGGCATATGCTGGCCCGATAGTTCAGATGAGATAAGCAGAAAGATTGATTGTCCTTCATACCATGTGGAGAATCCAAACCCATGTATAGGTAAAGACAAATTATTCACTCACTCCTTCCCAAGAAAAAGCAGTCATGTTTCAAACACTTTTGATCCCAAAAAAGCCTAGTTTGATCAAATGAAGCTAATTTTCTTTTAGTTTGGGTAAAGCAACATATAAAATTTAAAAAGAAATGTTTCATGATTTATGACAAGGTGTATGTTGCCAAATTTTAAAAGTTGCACACTGGTCAAACAAGACTTTTGTGGGACAAAAGTAGTAATATAATGTTTGCAGAAAGACCTGAAGTGAAGGACGGAAATTTTAGACTCGTGTTGCAAGAGACCACAAGTGATTACTGGCATGGTCTTCACAAGCATACATAACTTATTTGCAGCAGCAATGGGCACACCACTAATATGAAGCCGCACATACGAACCCGCCACTATGCATTCTGTAGCATTGTTTCGCTCCATGTCTTGAGCCTTAGCTAGTACATGCTTTTGTGTCCTGTTGAAATTATCAAATGCAAATATTCTAGCATACTCTGGAGGTAGAGATTCCTGAAATCATAACCCCACACCATTTCAATTGTCAGATCACATTGAAATCACAATGTATTAAAGGAGAGATGCTTATTCAAGGCGTGTGTACCTTGGGATCCCATGAAGAAGTTCTGAAAGATTTTAGGCCTCTGTACTTGGCAAAGCGCTTCCTAGCAGGAACATCCAGTGGTGTATCAACTTCATCAGGGAATTCTAGTGTGGCAATTATAAGAGAAACCATCAGACATTGATAGATCAAACGATTGTCACGCTTCAGAACAACAGAAGAACAAATATATTAAAACAGACAAAAGCTGAAGGATAAATTCATCATAGAATATTATCTATGCAATAAGATTAGTGCGTGTAAGAACTAAACTTCAATATTATATGCCTAAATT